CACCTTTTTCAAGCGTGACAAATCAAAGCCAAGCTCATTTTTTCAGGTTCCTGCGACCATTTGTCAGCATGTGGCTCTAAGAAGATACCACAGGAAAACCAAACCCAGAAGCAAGCGGGGAGATCAGATCCCAGCACAAGAAGATGATTTATTCTGAAGGCAGGTGCCGGGAGACTGATGGAACCTATGACACGTGACAATGTCACTTCCAGCTTAGGATACATTCCCTGTGGCTTCAGAGAAAATTACCATACAGTAATTTAAAAATAATTCACAACAAAGCATGCATGGCTATAATTTGATATGCAATGCTAATAAACCCAGTTTGAACTCTGTAAAAAACATGTCTCGCATAATTATGTTAGGTGCCATGCCCTCTACGTTTATTTATTATATTTCACAGCTAAATGTGCCAAATATTTTTACCTGTAATGTGTCAGAGAGTGTTTCTTAATCAATTGTACAAGAAGGGCGCCTTATAGAGAGAGTGAACACACTACACCATAAGTTCCAGAACTGAAATGCCATTTGTATCCACCTGGCCACGCATTAGCAGCAGCTCTCCTCATTTTGGTGACTAGACGTCCGTGTACAAACACAGGAAGTGGAAATCTAGCTACATCCTCTGCCAGATCGTACAGAGTATCATAATTCTTATTAGAAATATTTGTCAAGATTCCTTTGAAAGGAACCCTGTAAGGGAATTTTACATGTATTTTTGATGTTATATTGTGTTGTGTCAGAATCATAGGAGGTGCCCAGGACACCATTTTTTAAATCCTTTTAAGTCGTGATTTGCATCTTAACAGTTTGAATTTGAGTGTCTTTCTAGTGTTTGGAACATGCTGGCTTCAGTCCTGGGAGCCCTCCTTAAAGTCAGCATACGTGAAATTCTTTTCCATGAATAGTAAACCCTGTTTCTACCTGAGCCTGTGTTTTACAGTATAATAGCTGCAGCTCAATGTTTGCCACAACACAATATGTGCTACCTGCCCCCTAATAAATGTATAATGTCTGCTTAAGTGTAGGTTATGTAGACATGCAAGTGGCATTAATTGGGACAGGAACTGTCACAACAGATAAACACTAACGCCATATTTACATATTACTGACTTAGCAGACAACCGCTGTTTATATATAATATGCCAGGACGTCACTGTTCATATAAATTCAAAATAAATACCTACCATCCTACCAGTGGCATATCCTACCAGTAGTTTTTAATGATAAAATGTTTCTGCCAGTTTTTGCATCTGTACTAGAAGTTTATTTTATTGGAATATTAAGTCAGGCAACATTTTTTTAAAGGACTGCAAACACCTTCTTGAATTAAATCCATTCAAGCATTCAGACATAGGTGACAAAGTACTAACTAGGAAAACCTCAGAGTTTTAACAGGCGGGTTTACAAAAGACAGGCTTGGTAAGTATTGACGGCAAATCTGAAAAAGTTACAACCACGCTATTGTGTGTGTACAAAATAAAATGCACTTTATCATAGTATTTGAAGATTTGTAAAACGTATTTTCTTATGGTCACCCTGAACTTTCTGGTCCTCTCTACAATGAAATCACATTTGCCTTTGCACTTGTGTGAGGAAAATGTTCCAGGTGCCATTGAGTTCTGCCTCTGGGACAGGCTCTGCACCCCCCATGACCCTGAACAGGACATGCAGTTACTGAAAATGGAGGGATGGATGGATGGCACTGATGTTCTAGCGGAGGAGTCTTTACATAGAGCAGGTTCACCCTGCGGCAGGTACAGTCTCACTCCTACAGCACAGGTGGCTCATGCTGTCACTTTAGCTATGCAAATTCACAACTGAATATTAGATTAGAAACATCGGACATCAAAAGTAATTGTAAAACCATATGGTGGGTGTCACAATGGAGATCTTTCAGACATGACAGGCCTTGTTATCTGGCTCCATATGCTTCTTTGATCTATACATCCTTTTGTCATCTTCTTTCTTCTCTCCATACTTAATATCTCTCCACTTTGTGTTATCAAACACCTCGAAGTGAAGCAGGCTGTCTCAAGTACCATCATAACGGTTGCCACCACACCACCCTTTTACATTTACTGGATTTTTTAGAAAAGCTGCCCGATTTCTACCACAATGGCCTACAGGCCTGTTGATAAACAGGCTTGCAGCCAAGTAGAAAAATAAAAGTCTTCAGGTTAATGGTTCTAAATGAATTAGCTGACTGATAAATCAAAGTAGGTCACATGACCTTGCAGATGAAAATCAACCCCAATACTCTCCTAATGTATTCTGAAAGTTTCCCCACTATAGACTGTCCCCAGATTAAGAATTTACAGACAACTCATACTTATGAACAGACTGCCATAAAACCTGAAAACATTGCATGGCCTATCGACATAAAATGTACACTGGACACAATAATTGGTACCCATTTTAAGGTTTTAAATTTTTCCTTAAACTAGGAAATAAATAAAATTCACCTGTGCTTACTCTTCACTGTTCACATAATGAATTAATCACTGAATGAAGGTTTTACTACATAAAAAAGACTGATTGCTTCAAGTTTCTTTTTCACAATGACAAAGACAAGAGAGGTAATTGAGTGCACCACAACTGGTATCATCAAAAAGCATAACAATTCCAAAGTTTACAAGGCAATCGCCAAAGAACTTGTTTCAAGTTAAAAAACTGTTAAAATGCTTCCAAGACATGCAGCGAAAAAGAAACTCAGTGAGAGAAGTCTGTGAAGGTTGGTGCGCACTGTGGAAAAAAACACAACACAAGACATCTAAAGAGCTCCAGGCTGACCTGGAGCAATCTGGAGTGGTGGTTTCTGGCAGCACTGTATGCTGCACAGTAAACCAAGTAGGGCTCTGTGAGCGAAGGCCAAGGAGGACACCACTATCGAAGGAATAGCACAAAAAGGCAAGACTCATGTTTGCAAAAACTTTCTTGGATAAGTCACAGTCATTCTGGGATAATGTCCTATGGACAGATGAAACCAAAGTAGAACCCTTTGGGAATGTAGCGCAGCAGTTTGTTTATAGGTGACAGAATGAAGCCCATAAGGAAAAGAACACCCTACCTACAGTAAAAACATGGTGGAGCTTCTATAATGTTGTCGGGCTACTTTGCTGCTTCTGGTACTGGAGCCAGTGAATGTACCAAAGGAATAATGAAAGTAGAAGATTATCAAGGCATTTTAGAGCAAAATCTGTAATCCAGTGTCCAAAAACTAGGTCTGAGGTGAAAGTCTTTCAGCAGGTCAGCGCCCCAAATCCAACAGTACAAGGGAAAGGTGGAAAAGGAAAAGATGGACTGTTTTAAACTGGGCAGCGATGAGTCCTGACCAAAGTCCCATTGAAAACCCTCTGCAGAGAGCTGAAACCTGCCACTGCAAAAAGGACTCCTGCAAACTTAAGAGAGCTTAAGTGCATAGCAATGGATGAGTGGCAGAAACTACTAACACTATCTGACAGTTTTTTTTTTTCTTTTCAATAACTTTGGACATTTTATTAAAAAATCTGATGGCTCAATTGCATTTATTTCTGAAGATATTCTACATTCTGCACTTAAAATTGAGGGGTGCCAATAATTCTGACCAGGCCTGTATGGTGAGAGACTGGAACTGACAGATTGCCTGAATCAGTGTATGGAGAACCACTGGGCACAACTGTACACAATTACAGAATAAGCCTTACACTCCTCAAAGTACCAGAAGGCACCATGTGGTTGGCCTCTTTAAAGCTGCCAATAGCCTCAGCAAGCACTGGCAAAACGTAAGAGTTACAGTAAAAGGAAGAACAGTTAGATGACTCTATCAACACTACAAATGTCCTCAGCAAACATTGGCAAATCAGAAAAGTTAACCTCCTTACACTAAAAGGAAGCACCGGTTACTGTAGATGACTCTGTCAACACTAAAAATGGCCTCAGGAAACACTGACAACCTGTAAGCTTTACATTCCTCACAGTTCCAGGAAGCACGAGGTGGACGGCTCTATCAACACTACAAACATCCTCAGCAAACACCAGCAACCCATAAACATCACACTTCTGATAGTATCAGGAAGCACATTCTTTATTTAAATCTTTATTAAAAGCCCAACTTTGTGTGACTTGTCTCAATGTAATCAGGTTCCTCTGATGGGAAACTTTGGCAGTCCTTTCATGTGCCACCGCTAAGTGGCACTGCTTCAATTGTGGTGCAATTTGTCACTAAATGAAATAGGTCCCAGATCAACACCTATACAATAGATCCATTAAACACTTTCAGAGTTACTGTATTATCAAGATCAAGTGTCTTTTTCAGTTGCCCTTTCCTTCCTTTGCTGTCACATAGTGCTGCTGCTTCAGTTCTAGCTCAGGAAATCAGGAATAGATCTTTATCCATATTATGTTTTTATGAAATGGTAATAAGATCCATCAAATACTTTTTGAGTTCACAAGATCAAGTGTCTTCAGCCATCGCCCTTCCCTTGGCTGCCACTACGAAGTGCTCCTTGAATTTGGGTGCAATCTGTCTCAAAATCTGATCAGTTTCAGCAGTTAACCCATATAATTGTTCTGCAAAGTTTGCATAGAATACTTTTTGAGTTGACACATTATAGATATAAGTGTCTGTGGTGAAGGACCTGTCCCAAAACCATATGTATTCCCCATGTGGGAAATACAATAAAAGTGTAATAGCCAGTGTTTTGTATCCAAATGGAGAAGGTCAATCACCACCAAGGTAAAACATGTCATTATGCTAACTACAACATTTTAAGGACAACAATCCTCAAATTAACTGAATGGTTTCATATTAATAACAGGGCCAAATGGGCTGCCAACAATCTTAATTGTGTTATGTCCTGATGGCACCATTTCACACGCAGCCATGCGCAATGTCAATGTGGCTGTCTCAGCGCTAACCAAACGACTTCATTCGGGCCCACTTCCCAGCACCAGTGAGTCTATCCCCCTGAGCTCTTAATCGATGGCTAACATGAGAAAACAGGTAAAGGGCCACTCACCCATGATGGCAAGGGCGGTGCCTTTCACCAGCTGCTTCTTCACTGGCTCCAGGACTTCCAGGCCACTGCCATCCAGGTTGCACCTGTTGATGGTGCTGTTGCCAGAGCTGATCCAGTAGAGCTTGTTGGCAGCATAGTCGATCGACAAGCCTGGTCGAGCAGAATGTCTGATTAGATGATTATCAGGAGCCAATCTCACAAGCCAATAGCTACAAGCCAGTAACGAGTATGTTAACACCATTCTGACTTCCTGATGATTTATTCTGATCTTATAAACAATCACAAGGTAACATCTTCATATCACTACCCATGGGCACCTTGTCTACCTCACCTTCAGTTCAACCTCAGCGAAATTTCAGCTAGATTACCAGCATTAACCTCATAAGCAATACATTTTTATTGTATAGTTTAAAATGAGTAATTTACGGGTTAAGAAATCAGATACATGGTATTACATTTTCTGGTTCAATTCCAGCAGTCGAAATGTAATACTTTAGCCATATTCTTTTTATTGATTGCATGACTTATTTATTGTTATTTGAGATAATTAAAAGACAAATTAAAAATGTAAACTGCATCGTAACATTAATTATTCATTTTATCTCATTAATAACGATAATTGTTATTGGACTACATTATTGACTTTCCACGCTTATCAAGATGCAAACATAACAATGAAACTTTAATTTAAAATCTATTTTTGCATTCAGGTAAAGCAGCCTTGTTATAACTGACTCATCTGACTAGATGTTTCCATAAGCATTTAGGCCTCTGCTAGTATTTGTTAACTTATATAATTACTAAAAGGAAATGTATCCATCATTCAACCACCTGCCCAGTACAGGTCCACGGAAGGCCCTGAGCCAGTGGCAGGGGCGGGGGTGTGGAGCCACAGAAACAACAAACCCATCCCCGTCTGGTACCTAAGCCAAGCAGGTTAGAGCATGGGGACACCCTGGACAGCCCAAAACCCACACACAGCTGGGGTGGGACTCAAACCCTCAACTCCGGGGCTGAGCACTACCTTACATTGGGAAGTTTGTAAGAAAGAGCATCAATCTGGTAAGGTGTGTCACTATTTGAAGCCAGGGAGGACAGTGGTTTGTGGCAGTGTACCAGGTCACTCACACCCCAGAGTATACAATGCTGAAAACATAGACTGGGGAGAACTCAAACAATCAATGTAAACCCTTCCTAGAGCTACATGCGCTTATAATCAAAGGTGTTTTAAAAACTGTCTTTTTCTTAAGGTTCTGTAAGGCACGTCAAGATGATTTATGGTATAAATACATGGCTGGGAACATAACAGGGTCAATATTCCAGAGAAACTGAAGGTTTGACCTTGGGCCAAAAATGAAAGAGTCAGAATAAATTAAATATTGTTTGAACCCTTGAAGAGAAACCTTTTGAAGAGACACAGATGATGATTCTTAAGGTTGCCCGGCTGAAAGAAGGGCCAAGGACCTCTGAAATACAGTCACATGTGTCTTTGTAATGCTACCTCTCAATGCAACAGGTGAAAGTGTGCCTGTGGTCAGAAGGGCACCGGTTCAAATCCCATGATCAGCAGATCTCTGTTGAGCCCTAGGGCAAGGCCCATAACCCCTGAAAAATGCTCAAGGCACTGGATGAATGCTTCACTTTCACCTGTATACACACTCACTGGCCACTTTATTTGGTACATCTGCTCAAATGTCAGCAGCACAATGTATGGAGAAGAATGGTGATTAAGTGACTTTGAAAGTGTCATGGTTGTTGGTGCTGGTATGAGTATTTCAGAAACTGCTAATGTACTGGGATTTTCACACACAACCATCTCTAGGGTTATCAAAATGAGCCAAAAAAGAAAAAAGAGCAATGGTTCTCTGGGCAAAAATGCCTAGTTGATGGCAGAGATCAGCGAAGAATGGCCAGACTGGCTCAAGCTGATAGGAAAGCAACAGTAACTCAAATATGCACTCATTACAAACAAAGATAATACAGAAGAGCATCTCTGAATGCACAACGCGTCAAACCTTAAAGCAGATGGGGTGCAGAACACCACACCAGGTGTCACTCCTGTCAGCTAAGGACAGGCAACTGAGGTGACAGTGGGCATAGGCTCACCAAAATCGGAAAATGGAAGATTGCAAAAACGTTGCCTGGTCAGATGAGTCTCAATTTCTTCTACAACATTCAGATTGTAGGGTCAGAATTTGGCATGAACAACATGAAAGCATGGATCCATCCTGCCATTAACAATTCTGGCTGCTGGTTGGTGGTGTAAAGGATGTGGGGGATATTTTCTTGCCATGCTTTGGGCCCCATAGTACCAGCCATTGGGTTCATGTGGATGCTGCGTGGGATTCAAAGAGCAGGGCCGGCTTAGCTGACTTAACCCTGGGCAGGTGACAAGACAAAACACTGGATGATGAAACTCACCAACAGGCTCCCTCTGGTTTTGGTGAAGGATCTTACTATTGCTGCCATCCATGTTCGCCAGGTTTACTGTGTTGCCATCAGTCCAGTAGATTTTCCTGGGAAAATGTAATGAAACACCCTGAAATATATATAATATCTAGACTCTGACATTCTGTTTTATGGCACGGTGGAAACATAAATCACACGCTACAGGTCACTTGGGGGACAGTAGTGCAGTAAATGCTGGTATAGCAGAAAAGAGCCAACACCACCATTTGATTGCTCCTGCTCTGCTGAGAAACAGCAGTCCAACAGAAATACACACAAACCAAAATGTATTCACCCTTACTTATCAGAACTGCACAACTGGAGTATAAGCTAATTGTTATACATGGAAAAGGGCATTTCTACATGAAAACTCTGTGCGACTACCTTAAACAAGCACTAAACAACTCCTAGTTTTCATTGTTAGCTATTAGGAAACTATGGATGCATTTCTATTATAAATTACGATATGACTATATACAATACAATTTTCTCAAAAGATGTTGATTAGTTATCTTACCCCTTTGACGGGTGAACGACGAGACACTTTGGCCTGTCGATCCCGTGGATAATGGAGGTTTTTAGCGAGCCGTCGAAGTGGGCCACATTAATCTGCGATTCGTCGTTCTCCGAGCTCATCCAGTACATGTTCCTCGACAGCCAGTCTAAAGCCAGCCCGCGAACGTTTACGATATCTGGAGGTTTGATTAATGTAGTGAAGGGGGAGGGGAAACACACACACACAGGTTAGATATCCATATCTTTGTAGGGACTGTCCATTTATTTCTATGGGCAAAACTCTAATCCCAACTAATCCAAACTCTGATCCCAACCTTAACCACTACCCAGCCCTAACCTTAGCCATAAGTAACCAAACAAAATGCAAGACTATAGGCATTTTAGTTTTTTGATTGCATTCACAGACTAGGTTAACCAAGCTGAAGATCCACAACCAGGTGTACAAGTAGCGCACTCAGAAGCTGTCTGTCCTGCTAAGGTCAGGTGTTTGCTAAGCACGTCTTTCCTGATGGGTAATAAGATTATTCACTTCAGGTTAGAAACAATGATATCACATTATTTTTGAAAATATTCTGTATTATTCACCTTGGGAATGTTTCAATATTTCAATGCAGCCTAAACCTATAAGCCCAAACAGGTGTTCAGAGACTTATTCAGAAATGTACAAAAATCTCTTCTTGGCTATCCGTGCTAGAGGAGAAGTCAGATCCTGTTGCCTGGGGTTTAAATTCCCGGGCCGCCTGCAGGGATGCTGGGAGACGGACTGGAAACTTTCCGATTAAAGATGGATACCCCAAGAGATCTGGCTTTAATCCCCAACTCAGCAAAGGCACTCCATTTGGAGCAAATTTACTCCATCGGTTTCTTGAAGGATCAGAACACACACGCAGCAGGCATGCCAGCGGCTGGGAAGACTGCAGGTGTGTGATCAGGCATCTCACGGCTGAGAGACGTGGCCCCACAGAGGCGCTGTTACAAAGCAGGAGTGAGATGCATAAGAGCGGTGTTGGTGCAATACCTCCTGACACAACTGTCTCCAAACCAGTGCCGTTAATGAAGGCACGCTTTATCGTCTGTGTCTTCACGTCAGCCCAGTAGATCCGCTCGTCTGCTGCGTCGTAATCCACTGCTGTGACATCATCGATGTCGGGCACCGTCAGGGCGGTGATGATGTTTAGGTATGGATTGTCCACATCCACACCCCGGATTTCTGACCTTCTGGCATACAAGAGGAATTTCTTCAGGGCTGTAGGGAGGGAGGGAGGGAGAGAGAGCGAGCGAGAGAGAGAGACAGAGAGAGAGAGAGAGAGAGAGAGATGCCTAAATCATTGGAAAACGTTAAAGACATCTGCTAATTGTGACTGAAGGTAGGAGTGACTGAAAAAAAAGATCAGGTGGGAACAAAGTCGACAAATTCCAGGTGATGTGGAACCAATGTACATCACAGAAAGTCCTGAAGAACCAGCATGAAATGCAGGTTAGAGTAGTTTTTGGGCAGCACTAAGGAAATCCTCCGCGCTATGAACGGGACTCCCAGTGAAAACATCAATGACTAAGCTACACTATGCCTGAATAAAGGATGCCAAATCTGAAATCCCAATTAAAGGCATAAACAGTGGGCTGGAATGCTTAACAAAGTGTTCGCATTTGCTCAGTAGGAGGGTTGAGTTTATTAGCACATTACATGTAACTCGTTAAGAGTGAGCAGCTGGAATATACTGGAGAAGTGATCATGACCTTCACAAAGCACCACTGGCAAATGAGAGTTTGGTGCCCCAGCCGGTTTGGGATTCGGAAGAGTGTTAATAGCTGCTTCCGGCTTAAACAGGAGCTTTTTTCAAATATACTGCTAACTAAAAATAGGGAGTTAAGTTAGTTTAATAAGTTAAATGCAAGACACTTCCATCAGCATTGTTATTGGTACAGGAAAGGGCTACAACAAGCATGCAGAAATTCAGATAGAGTTAGGGGTAGACATGATGTAAAACACCCAGTGTCAACATAGACACTTTTAATGCAAAGCACCACCAACAAAGAGACCAGGCCAGATGTGGAAGGCTAATCAATTTAAGTCTGTATCAACGCCTCTTCCACTTTCTTCTCCCCAATAAGGAAGGGAACTGGATTATGTCTATAAGCTGAACTCACTTGATAAAGAAGCAGAAACTTCTCATTTTTCCTACCAGAAACTTCTTGAACAAAAAAATGGAGAAAATAACTTGTTCCTTTCACTAGCAGACTCTGGCCACCCCTGGATTCAGACCATGTTGCAGAGTGAACTCAATAATTACTGCTGCCAATTTCAAACTCACTGACAGACTGACACCCTGCCTTCAGACGACAGACACATGTAAGTCGCTAGTGACTCATTATCCCCAGACTGCCTTAATCAGGTCTTTTCAGCACTCACTCCAGGGCTGTGAGAATGCATTTCCCCAGAACCAGGGAGATGTTGACTCCTTTCAAAGTTCACACTTCGGAATATTAAGATAGCTGTGCACTTTCAAATTAATATAAATGTGTGCTGTTTCGCTTGAATGTCCACTGTTCTCCCAGGCTATACTGCGGCTGGTACATCGCCCATCGTGTTACCTTCCAATCCGCTGACTGTCAGACATCCGCGTCATTCAGAAGGAGTAGCAAATTGTTTTCATGGCTGCACATGGGGGGGGGGGGGGAGTACTGACTCACCAAAGCACGAGCGGTTGTTGGAAGAGAGCTTCATGAGGTGGGGGCAGGCGCAGGCCACCGTGCGGTTGTAGCTAATGAGGCATATGTGGGAGCAAGGGCCCCGTCCGTCGTTGGCCTTGCATGGGTTTGACACTAGAGGAGACAGAAAAAAGCCCCCGGAGGTGTCACACCAAACACACCTCGATTATTAAGCCGTTAAGCGCGAGCTTGGTGTATGAGCTCATCTGAGGTGAAAACTGGGGAGGTCCTGCTTGTGTGGCAACAGAAAATAAGAAAAATCACATGCCGGGGGTCCGGCAAACCTCCTTCCTCCCGTGACAAAGCCTTCTGCACCTTCTTGGAAGGGAACGAAGGGACCTACTTTTCTCATTATTTTTGAAAGGAAAAGAAAGGAGGAAACACAAGAAAAATGAGGCTGTGTAAAGATAAATAGAGCCAAGCAGGTCAGGGGAGGAAATGCGTGTCAGCCACTGGGAGCTTCGGGCTCGCAAACCTGATGATGTCATGTCCTCCCCACATATACTTACCCAGATACCAAGAAGGAGGGTTTTATTACAGCCGTGTAAGCAACTCGAGTCCCCCACGACACATTTTTTGAGGTCAGAGATGACTTTATCTTGGGGGGAATAAAAACATAACCACAGGCAAAAGGCACATTTGAGTAACTTGAGCAGCCTGAAATACATATATCAATGCACTTGTGATGTGATTTCTGTATACATATCTATATTTTTTCTTTTAATCTGGTGTATTTGTTTTGCATTAGATCAATCACATGACCGCAGTTCTAAGATGTGGTTTTAAATTGCCTGGGTACACCTGAGAGGGGTTGTCAGTTTTGGCAGAGTGAGATCTGCTCCGATGACGCTTCCAGGATCTTGAAATTCACTCCCCCCCGGCTGCCCTACCGATTTATTTATACTCCCACATTCTGTTCCCCCCTGTGGGATTCCCTATCCCCAGAGGACTGGCCAAGAATTAGGAAGGAATGGGCAAGATTTTCAGGAGATCAAAAGCATAATCATACACCGCTGTTCCTGTGATACCTGAACTAAATAAAAAAGGTAGCTCGCTAAACTCAAGGTCGAACAGGTCACAGGGACTCTGCACAGCACCAAAAAAATCCCTATCTTGGCCTTCCCCACATGCAAGAGAGTAGAAATAAAAGGGAAAATGTACTATAAGGGAGACGATCGAGGTTTTTCAGCTGTATCTTTCGTTTCCAAAAAGGTCCTCATTTTTGCCATTTATGGACCGACACTCCTGAGGGCCTTAACGAGCGTGCCCGGATTGGGCTCATTAACACATCTACAGCCACATCCCATCCAACACCACAGAACCTGCCACAATATACCAAGAAGAATGCTGTCATCTCTAAATGAACATGGTGACTAACAAAAAGGAAGCAGGTTCCACGTAATGGTGAAATACTTTAGAGATGAGAGAAACGGCCGGCTAGAGAGTTTGCTGTTTTTGTGCTGTTTTATACTTTTCTGTCCTTTTTTATTGCCTTATATGGTAGAGAAGCAATTACTTGCCCTTAGCAATTTTCTTTTCCTTTTGTTTTCATTTGAGTATATTATGGGATAATCCCAATGAATTAATTACCCACGCAGTCGGCACATAAGGAAAATTGGGCTCAACTGGAGGAATGAAAACAATCAATGGGAACAACAGTGTAGCCCAACGTGACAATGTGCAACCCTCTCCAAGCACGAAACCACATCACGCATGCTGATTAAGTCATGTAAACAGAAACAAGGAAATACTGCAATAAAAATATTCTTTTTCACACAAATCTGTTTATGTTAATGACATGCTTGCTTTCCGATATGCGTACGATCGCACTCGTGCATTTTAGGGCTTGTTAAGGGCTTTCAGATAGCAACAGCCTGTGTTATTTGCATCTTAGGAAAGAGTGTAAGAGATGAGCAGTCTCTGACAGGCACACTTGACTCCTGGCAGTGCAAAAAGCTTTTCTTCTCACAAAATGGTATCTTTTATATACTCACAAGAGGCCCGGGTGAGTCACGCAACCTCACTGAAAGTTTATTTTAACTGCAGTGCTACTATCAATAAAATACAAAAGGACAAACTAGGAAAAGTAAGAGTAATGCATAACACCCAGCCGTGATCTAAGGCCTTCAGCGCAGCTGGAAGGAAAACAAAGGGAGACTGGTATACCATGTGCTAAGTGCAGGATTCACACAAACAAATTTTTTAGACCAAACACCACTGATGCACAAAGGGTGAGAATAAAATGCTAACCCTGCACATTGGTACTGAACACATATACATGAAATAATAATAAAAGTCAAGCCAGAATGAGCCCAAGTCTATCCATACATAAAGAACAGTGGACTCCTACATCCCACATCAAGACCACACAATATGAAGCTCAGTCCCCAAACTTACAATCAATAGACAAAAAAAACAAACAAAAAAACACCATATGGATTATTACATCCACCAAACAAATCTGTGGAGGCACAGGAAGATGGGGAACAAGGGACGGGTTCACCGATCCATATACAAGTGTTCCTTTATTGGCTGGAAGCAGAATGCCACTGGTATGCTCAGTAGGTGAATCCAATACCTCCCCCTCCTTCAAAGGCGCTGTAACCCCTTTTATGCTACACATAGAAACATTAACTTAAAGCATTTTTTTTACTTTCTATGCAAACAAACCAGTCTACCACTTTTTTCCTCGTTTTCTCTTCCATACTGCTTCCGTAAATAATCACACACTCAAAACATGCCCCGCCAAGTGGTCGGAGTAAGAATTACAGGAGAGACCTGAAAAATAAACCAGGAGTTGGTAGAAAATGTTTCTTCCCGCATGTTTTATACTTATAAACACATCACAAGTAAAGGCAGTCCCCGGGTTAAGAACGTCCGACTTACAGACAACTCGTACTGTTTGTCGGCTAGAGGTACAGTACGTACAGTACCATATATAATTACTTTTATTATTAGTGTATAATAGTAATTATAATGAACTGTATTACTATTCTTCTGACTAATCTACACATTCAACTTAAAGACAGACTTAGGGAATACATCTTCTTGTACTACATTATATAAATATATACACACAATAGCTGCCCAAGTAACCATTAATATTGATTATTTGCTTTTATTTAAATGTGGAGTACGTAGTATTATGTAGTATATAGAATGATTATTATAGGCTACGTTTTTAAACGCACAGCTGCGGAAATGCAGTATAATGCATGGCTTAATTGGGGTGCATTAACCCGCTTATACCACGGTAACCGGTAATTTGGCTTACATGTTTGTACTTTAGGACATTTTTGCACGTTTACAAATCGGAACGCATATATAATTAGTAGAACTACTATTTAGGCTTGACCTATATTTAATCGAAATTGTGCCTTGTGGCTTTGCCATTTTATTGGCAATATTTAAAAATACTGGTATAGCGTTGATTTTTTTAAGACTACAGTTTATAACGTAATATCGCCCAAGCCCACTACCATTAAACATTTTGGTTTTATAGGGCCCAAGCTGTCGTTAATTCGAAAATAGTCTATTGCTAACATCACAATTATAGTTATAGTTAGTAGGTAAAAACTGCCTGCTGCTTAGCTCAAAAACGGATAAGCCAGATCTGTATAATTACCGTACGTGACATAAGCGGGTAAATTCAATCCAAGTCATGCATTATAAGTTTTTCAAAGGGCAGCTGAAAACAAGCCATTGTTTATTAATTTAGCTTCACGTACCTCCTGGTACTCGACTGCATTATGGGTAAAACCAACTCATTCACCTATTAATATTATTAAAACAGGATTTGACTACTGTGTTGCTTAGGCAGGTTAAACAAGAATGTATAAAGTTTAACTGGACTGCAAGTGCATCAGATCAGCAAATCATTTTGGTATTTAATTACTGACCACAGTTTTCCCTACCCAGAAGCACTGTTGTTGCCTAAGTGATTTGCATCAATTTATACGCTTTTAGAGTTTCCGTTAAGTAACGGTACTTAGAATTAAAGGTTATAATCGCGGTATTGATTTACTACCGTAATTCCCCATGGCCGGCACTGCATATGAGGTTATAGAAAATTAACCATCACTCGTCAGATTCGCCGTATAAGAAATATCAATTGCTAATTCAGAGTGCGGTGACTACAAACTTTGTATAAACAATCAGTTAAGCCTAATTAATGTCTGCTAGACCTGTCAGAGAATGGACCCAGACGTATCCAAGATGTCTTAATTCTCCTTGACTGGCTGCCGTTGGTATTTTGGACTCTGGTTGCAAGTCTATTCCCCAAAAGGCTCTTTAGGCTGGACTAGACATACTTATTGGATCCGTTAGTGCGGTAGCTTAATTTCCCTGCACTTATCCTGTGCACAGTGGTCTCAAAGCTCTTTAAGGAGGGGGCGGCTGTTAATTAACTTCTATAATATTGGAAGCGCTCCATGCCTCAATCTTCTGGGTATCTGAAGTGATATAAAGGAAATGAGCTCACTAATGCGTGCGGATGGGCAGAAATATCTGAATGAAGGGATACAGGTTCGATATAGCCGGGACATATTAAAGGGAGATTTGTAAAGTACGGCATTTTGCACCGTGGTAGAGTCAGAGACACGCAGCCTGAGCTTATTACACCTGGATGCGGTTATTATAATGCTAAGCGCCGCCCCTGTGTATATCACGGACACTGCTGCCGTACATGTACGTAACAAGATAAGAACATTTTGGCTTTGTTTCTCAGTCATAGTGATTTACCTTAACTAGAAACTTCAGAAAACCAGAGCAAATGTTTTTAAAGTAAGACAAAGAAAAAATAATACATAGAAATAAATAAGCAAGATCCGTATCTGCAGGCCAATGTAAACGCAATGCAGGGAACGGCACCATATTTCATTATGCATTTATTCTCAGTCCTTTTTTTTATTGTACTTTGAGACGAAAAGCCATATTTCCTGACATTATATTGCATTGTAAAGGCAAGAAATGACAGACCTTTGAAGTCCTTCAAGACTATTAGTCCTACTGGGGACTTTTACCTGCAGTAACTCACTTTTATATAACCTTGTAGAGCTGGTAATAATTTAATAATGTAATACACAACAGAGTAATAAATATTGCATAATTTTGACAGTTGGTATCCAATGGGAATACCTAGCTGGATCACGATCAAAGAATGATATAATGTATTTATTTATTAAATATTACAAATACAAGCCAGCAATTAATAACTTGTACACTGAACCAATAAAGGCAATTAGAAGCTTATGTGTTACTCCTTAGAAGTACCATGATACAATTCTGTCATTTTAAATAAACAGATAAAAATGCCTTTTGCAGCAATTAAAAGCTGCCTGCCAATGTAAATATGCTGCATTGTGCAGCTTTGCAGACGTTAATGACTTTCGCATTGAGCTAATCTGTCAAACAAGGCATCGTGAACAAACGCACATCTGTCCAAACACAGTCACTCAGCACTTTTACAGCAGTGCTTCTGCTTTTTTCATTAATTATTACTTGCCATCATGCTAACAGGTAGACCTGTTTGTTTTAGCAAAAATCAGGAAGCGATCAGCAGGAAAAAAGATGAAGATATTCAACCACTGGAGGCAGCCCTAGAGCGTCTTAATCTAACAACCAAACCAATGGGGCTATGGAGTAAGTAGGGACACGGACTGGTTGGGCGGGTTTTGTCAAATCGTTGCGCTGGAAACTCTCCATGCTATCTGGCAGCCTGTTGCAGAGATTATGGAGCCCCAGGAGGGGCATGGGGGGGAAAAAAAAATCAGTGGTTGGGGAAAAAATGGACTCTTGCAAAGGTGGCATTTCTCGCAATACTTTTACTTTACCATTAAAAATGTAATTAAAGTATAAGTATAAACACAAACGATACAGACATATCCTCTAAGGCAGGGATGTCAAACGCCAGTCCTGGAAGCCCAGCACATTTGAGTTTCCCCTCATTTAACACACCTGATTCAACTCCTTGCACCTCCTTGTACTAATTACCACACAGCTCTTGAGCTGAATCATTTGCGGTGGAACAGGGAAAGAACTAAGACACACAGAGCTCCAGCCCCTGGTGACTGGAGTTTGACACCCCTGCTCTAAGGCGTGCTTTAAGCATTAAACTTGGGGGGACAATGCACACCATGTAACTTGCATATTGTGTGTTTTATATGCATTTATTTATTAATAATTGTACTGTCTCCATTCACTGCAAGTGACTTTAAGCAAGATAGCTGTACTATTGAACAAGAAGTGCGCACACAAGCAATGAAAAATATTACAAACAATGAAAGATATTACAGCCAGAAAACTGCATACAAAGCTATCTTTACTGCAATGTTGGTGCTAAGTTTTAAACTCAAAACCACTTTCTGGAATATTTCAGTATAGATCGGTGAGAGGTTTGCCGAAAGTGGTTTTGGGTTTAAACCATAACAATGACACCGTGGCACAGTCAGCTTTATGTTCAGTTTTCCAGCTGTAACATCTTTCAACAAAAGCAAGCAGCACGCTTTGGTTTTCCATATTTCTATATGGGTGAATTTTAATTAATATTTCAATGTTTGTGTGTACTTCATGTTCAATAGCCCAGCTGTCTTGCTTGCATATTGCTAGGGGTGCACCGATCGATCGGCGCACCGATCGATCGGCCTCGATCACGTTAATTTGAGGGGATCAGAAATCGACCATATTCCCATGAGATCCACCGATCTTAGTTATATGCTTTTAACTCTTTGGGGTCGAGTATGTCGTCGACGACATCGCGTACTTTTCGCGTACTTTTCGCGTCTATTTCAGTTTATAAATATCTCGCTGAAATCTTAATGTATAATCATGAAAAAAACGCTGGCTAAATCCGTAATCTGTCTTCTTTTCAAAACGTCCATTGTCGGAAGTATTAAAGTTTTTTTAATTAGGTTAAATCGGCAAAAAAGTAAACCATGTCATCTTACTTTGTTTTACCTGCGTCGGGGGCGTGTAGTACCGCTCTCACCCGAAGATCGCTATTCACATTCTAAATAGCCGCATTAGCGCGTATTCAAATCGCATTCGCATGGTAATTTGATTAACAGCGCAACGGTGAAACGCGATCCAGATACATCCCCTTCAGCGCCATAAAAGGGGGTTGGGGACGTGGCCAGGTGACAATGGCTCATTCATACACATGAAAGTTGCTACATATTCAATGAAAGGAGCCAGAAATAGTTACATGAGTTAGGTTTTTCTTATTTATTTATCCAAATTAATGTTGCATCTACACCATTTAGTCATCTTCATGTAGCCAAGACTTTGGTGATCAGATATCTGGGATCAAAACAAACTGCCAGCATTGCTTACTATGTACTTTTATAATGTTTCTGCAAGTGTTCCAAACTGCATTTTGCAATGTCTATACTTTGATGTCAAATTTCAAACTTAACAAAAATCTGACATATTTACAATATATATTAAAATAAAGATGAGTGTAATGGCAAAACAAATATATAAGAAATAATTTATTTGCCATGAATTAAGTGTGATGAAATGTGTGATCATGCCCCAGTCAGTGAAAGTGTGTTTCCTACCCCTAGGCCCCAGAGGGTTAAATCAGCCTTTTCTCCCATTCCCGAGAGAGGTGCAGTGCAGGCTGCCTCCCTCCCTATTTTTTGGACAAGTGTGTCATAACAGCTATATATATATTTTTTTTTTACAAAATTAGAGAAATTAAAGTCTGGAAGAAAAAATATGATTTTGTAGTTCAAACAGCAATGCTCATTTATATGTTCATTTATATTTGAGGACACTACCTCATGTTTTGTGAGTATTCATATCAATTTACTCAATAAAAATGGAAACATTGAAGTAACTGTCTTTTAGTTATGAAAGAAACAAGATCGGCAAAAAAAAATCGAGATCGGCAGGTAAGGTTGCCTAAGGATCGGTGATCGTTGATCGGCCAGAAAACTGCAATCGGTGCACCCCTACATATTGCATATTATATATTGCATATTTCTGTGTCATTATTACATTATTATGTATAAGAATGCAAAAGGCAATAGTGGGCAGATCAGATAGCTCAGACAGGAGAAAGAAAAGGCAGTGTGAGGTAGACTGGAGACAAAATGTCCTATGTAAGTATTTTTTATCTATTTCACATTTCTGCACGTGCTGGAGATTATGGCTCCAAAAGAAGCATTTTGGGTTTAGGAGCAAATGGTTCCTAAAGTTTTTTTTTTTCCGTCTGGGGCCCTGGCTTCACTTCCTAACAGCTGATTGGTGGCTCAAAGCTTGCCAGTCTATGCTCATTGGTAAGCTGTAGCTGTGACCATGTCCGCTTTACAGCCCCTGAATTGTAGGCTAATTCTTGTTAACCTGAGCCAGAAAAATGGCCTGATGGGATAAAGACTAAACTATTTGTTGGGCTTGGCCTTCAAAGACGGAAAAGAGAAACAGACTTTCCATTGGGGACACCTTGCCAATAGCATGGCCACTTTTTCAGTTATTCACTGAAGAATCTCGCTAAGTGCTACTAATAGGTTTTTGACAACTTTGCGTTTTAAAGAGACACCATCAGTTATTTACGTCACAGTGTGGAGCAAAGCCGAGGCTCAGGACCTGTACTGCATTCACAAGCCCTTAAACTGTTATGTGAAGCACATTCATTTGCTAATTCACACCTTAGTGCTGCTTTGAGTCAGTTCCAGAAAACAACTAATTCAATGATCAATATTTTTCTTTTTTCATTCTGTATCACGCATCTGGCGGTCCACGTGAGAATGTCATGGTTCTTTGCTAATAGGATATCATCATGTTCCAAGTGCCGTTGTTCAACCAGGTACGATGCATTTTTGGGGGCCGAAAGTACATCATACACTGTGTGGGTGGCCAGTCCTGACATGGACTCTTCCTGTGGGTAATGGGATATCTGCAAAAGGCTAACATGATGCACCGGCCAGAACAGATGTTCAGCTCGTGTTGCCTTCTGGCCCTGGAGGAACGTTCACTTGTGGAGGATACAGAGACGAGACCTGAGTGCAGGAAGGAGATTTATCTGCTGTGAAAAGTCTATTTATTCTGAAAATATCATTCGGCTCAGCATCTGTTTCCATTTTTAGCGCCCCGGTAACCTTATGGGGCCAATGCCTGAGTTGTGCTCATTTCGCTAATAACGTATTTTGCATTTATGAGGCCCTGAGACCTCCTTCCTGTTCCCAAGGTAACCTCCACTCCACGTCGGCGCTCACCTTGCGGCTGGCGGCTCGGGTGGTAGATCTGCAGGTCAAAGGGCTGAGCGCTGGTCTTCTGGATCACTGTCACGTTGCTGCCTGTCCATTTGTTGGCTTTAGCCAGTGTGTTGGTCCTCCAATCAGTCCAATACACGTTACCCCCAAACAAGGAGACGGCGAAGGGATGTGACAGGTACTCGTGGCCCCTCAGGATCTCGATGACTCCGCTGCCATCGTAGAGGGCGGAGTATATGGCATCAGACCTGTTAGGACGATCAACATCAGCCTTCAAGGCTCAGTATCTACATGCTGGGAAGATGAATACTGTAGGTAGATACGACATCACCATGAAGTCCTGAAAAGGGTACATAACACAGGCATGTTGTCAAAGTTCTCAGGGAATTACAGTATCCTAAACATCGCTAAAATTACCTGTTGTGTTTTGCCACTGACTGGCAAGTTAGTTTGCATGCTCTGATCATGGTTTACAAGGAACAAAATCCAGCATCTGGCTCAGTCAATTCATTAACTGTTCATCAAATCAACTCAATTGATTAACTGTTCATCAGATGAAATTGTGCATTCGTACAGACAATACTAATGGTAATGAATTTGGGACAGAAGGTGTACCCTTAGTATTCCCTTTAAAACCATGTGTACCATAACAAAGCAACCTTGAATTTATCCCTTTCTTACTCTAATGATGATTTTCATGCATGATCTTCTCCTGCTATCAAGAGGTAGGTAAATGTTGGCAGAACGATGGCTCTTCAGCTTACCGTGCATCTGTCCACACGATTCTCTTCTCTAGATGATCCAGTGTCAGTCCGTTAGGCCACGCACCAATCTCCATGTCTTTAAAGACAACATGGCGTCCTTCCCCGCTCATCGAGGCCGCTTCGATGCGAGGGAAAGAAGAATCCCAGTCTGTCCAGAACAGGATGCTATAAACAAAAACATATTATTGGTTAACACAACAGCTTCACGGTTTGCTCAGGTCAAGTCATAATGACCATTTAAATGTAGACAGACAAAAGGAAAGTGTGAAAAAATTCAGCATCCTTTGGATCAAACCCTAAGTACACAGGCCTGTATAACTTGAACTCTAATATAGGATATATTATGATGTCTTGTTCATTGAATGACCTTTCAAAACACTTTGTGAAATCACTTTTTTTTTAACTCGGGGATAGGTAGGGCAGGTCACCAGAGAGTTTAGCCAATGGCACTTCAATGCGATTTAACAGCATGATAATATTATATTCAGTGAATTAACGAAAATAGGCCGATGGGCAAGCAAACGGCCGGGACAGTTTCCGCATTTAGGGGACAGAAATTTGTCCCATTTACCAAGACATATCCAGCCCGAAGCCCTGAGAGCTGTTAAGGATTTAACAAAGGAATAATTACTCCAACAAACCCAACAGGGCCCAAAATGCAACTAGCTTGGCACCAGCCCCTATCAGTATAAAAAATATATCCCAGCAGCTTAAAACCCTTTCAGTGTTTGTTTAAATGGATGCAGCATCCAAGAGTTCGCATAGCAGGCCTCCTGCGTCAAAATGAATCTCGAAATTCAGCCAGACGACAGAGAATCTCAACAAAAAAAGACAAACCACCATCCAGGAAAAAAAAACAACTAAGACATTAAATAACTGTAAATACTATTAGGTAACAGTTTACTACATATGCCCTTGATTTCATCAATTTCAATGGGGTGCACTTTGTTAGTGACTTATAAAGCTTTAGCAGCACTGGACACTGTCGTTCACCAGGGGTACTGGTGAGCTGGAGTCATTCTACGTCCTGGCCCACGTCCTGCTGCATACCAAGTGAAAGCAGCAAACAGGGGTCAGCTTCTGAACAGGCCGCGGCAGAACTGCTCGGTGAGGAAGGCCCCCAGTGGACATCGATAGCGGCATTCATGTGATCAGACCCCCAGATCAATAATGTGAGCTTTCCCTTGAAGCAATCACATCAAAGATGCAATGTGCCCCTAAAGAATTTAGCCACTGTAAACCCTCAGAATTAAAACATAATTCAATTATATTTCATAACTGAATGCACCAGCATTAAAAACCTATTCTAGAGTCTCTGTCTATATATCAAACTCATCTTTCTCTAACTGTAATAAAATTTGTCATCCTATTTACCAAAACAAAAAGAAGAATCTAGCCCATAGAACGTAGGAGTGACATCTTTAAATTGTTTTTAATGTTTGTTCAGAAATGTCAGGAAGCTGACAGTCTGAGCTTTACAGGAAGGGCTATAAAGGGAACATGCCCAGTAATTAAGCATTGACAAAAACCAAGAAAGTGGATTGATAGGCGAGTGCAGCCATCGGCCAGCAGGGGGTGCTGCACACGAGCATCGCTGCTGGATGCAAGTGGAAAGGTACCCGTGTGCAGGGTCCAGGGCAACAGCACGTGGGTGCTCCATGCCACCAGCGATCAGCGTAGCCCGCATGGTGCCGTCCAGCTTGGCCACCTCGATCTGGTCCAAGTTGCTGTCGATCCAGTAGAGATTCCCAGCGATCCAGTCGACGGCCAGTCCTTCCGGTGTGGCCAGGCCGTGCTGCACCACCACCTCAATGCCAGTCACGCCTGTGGAGTGCACCGGCTGTCTCTTAGATAAAGTCAGCTGGGATCCAAACATCTGCCCTCCACCTCGCGACGGCTTTAAATCACAGCCCGCATCCCAGGACGAGGAAGCTGCTCCCAGAGCTACCCATGTGAATCTCCTCCCTTTCTTCCAGGAAATGTCAAAATCTCAAGGAGAACAAATTGACTAATTGAAGCAAAGTCTCCCTGAGTGTTTTATTAAATATTAAATTAAACATGAATCCAGCTGCTTGCAATTATCTACACTTGCTGCTGGCTTTTTACAGAGAGCCGGAGTATTCGCAAAAACACAAGACAGTTAGTTGTACCAGGGAACTGAAAGCATAACAAGTGAGTCACTGCATCCCCTTGTCAGAAACTAAAAGCCAGGCCCACCACACACCCCCAAAATAAAAATGAAACATTGAATACAAATTAATCAAACTCTAGCTTAACTGCAATTCATACACACTACCAGATGCCTGTAGTATAGTAACATTCCATTCAGTTCCTGTATTGATTTCCTTTAATTTAATTTTGTGATTTAAATTAATGAACAATGGCTCACTTTCCATAGTGTACCAGGTCGTAGTTAATACTGACACCAGCAAGGATTCACAGATTAAATACCAGTTAGTCTCCAAGAACAAAGCAGTGTTTACACTACGACTGTATACCTCCACTCTCTGAAAGCTTTCCTCTGTAAATTTTATCCTCCACAACATCAGTCCAGTAGAGCAAACTCTGATTGAAGTGGAAGTCCAGGGCAATGGTATTTCTTAAACCAGGAACGAGGAGGCTGTAATCTCGCTTGCGGAGGTCTATCCGTCTGATCTCGTGACGGATGGAGAAGATGATGAAAGCCTCAAAGGGATCTGCGAGAAGGTAAGAAAAGACATAACAAAAGCAAAGTAAAAAATGGCGTAAAATGCCTTTAAGAAGTGGAAGAAGGAAAGGGGAAATACAGCGAGAGCAAAGTGAAAAATAAATTTGGGCTTCTGAGCACAGAGTGTCCAATTCGAAAGATGCCTTTAAGAAATGGGAAGCTGCAGAACAGCTATTGCATAGGGTGAAGATTTCTGAATGAGCAGAATGGCGCAACTTTATTGAGGCATCGAGGAAGACTTACATCAACTAACTGTAAAGGAGTTCATCCGTCGTATACCAGCAAATGATGAGTTTTTGAAAGTAATCAGCATAATAATTCTCAGTATAACCATACTCTGTCTTTAACATACTTGAAACATTACGAGCTTGAAATTGTCTCTCAAAGAGGAAGCAACAGAATAACTAAGCCTGAGGCCTTAGGGTGAGAATCTGTTTGTAATATTCAAATAGGTCTCCATAGCACCACTGAACAAACGCAAACCACACATTCACATTCAATTTAAAGACTCCCTCTGCTTGTAATACTGTTAGACCCACAAAAAAACACAACGAATTGCCTACCATGTGGTGGAACTGGGGAATAAAAACTCTCAATGAATGGATGAATGAAGTATATCCTCAGAATCAATATTCTTTTTTGGCACACAACATCAGTTAAGATGTAAACAAACAGGATTTGAAGCATTACCTTCCGAGAGAGAGAGAGAGTCAAAAGTCGATAACCTGAAATCGTTCTCCATTTTATGTTCGTGATGTAAACCACTTTTATTTCCTACAGGCTGGGCCCACTGGATGAAAATTAGCATTGCTTTCCGGGGTGGATGCAAATAGCAACTATTTAGCTAAACAATGCACACATAAAATGTCTAAAAGGACAATTAATACAGACAGGCTTGGGGAAAAAACATTCTACAAAAACTAAAAAAAAAAAACAATATCAAATTTTCATTCCAGCCAGACTGAAGACAGAATGAACTACCTAATATCCCACATCAGGACTATTTTTAATTTGCTAACTTTTGGTTAATAAGACATCTACATTTATTCAGTAGACTCTTTTTTTCATGGCGCCCTACATTTTTGAGAAAGTGGGGTCAGACAGTCCCCGGAGCAGCTGGGGGTTAAGGGTCTCGCTCAGGGGCCCAATGGTGACATCACTCTGCCAACCCTGGGATTTGACCGGTGACCTTCTGACAACACGGCGCAGCATCCTCACCCACTGAGCTACACACCGCCCTTCTAAACCAGATTTTAAAAGTTTATTTTGATAGTTTACTTTTCACTACATTAGAAATTTGTTACACATATGATAAAGCTGCCTGTGATTCATACTGCCCCACTCCACCTGCCCTCTGGACCCGGGTACCTGTGCTGTGGCAGTCCTCATCGTCAGGCCCTGCCCTGCCCTGCCCTGCCATCTGGACCCGGGTACCTGTGCTGTGGCAGTCCTCGCCGTCGGGCCCCAGGCGCCAGCCTGGGTAGCAGGAGCACTTGACGGTGGTCTTGTACTGCTCGCACACCTGGCTGCAGCGCAGGTGCCGGCCACAGTAATCCACCAGCTCACAGGTGCGGTTGTCCGGGCCCAGACGGAGGCCCAGTGGACAGGAGCAGGCCAGACCCCTCCCAGGGACCAGGACGCACAGGTGGCTGCAGCCACCATTAGTGAGGGCGCACTCGTCTGGGGGGAAGCAAGGGAACAAGTCACTTCAACAGAGACAGGCCATCATGGCGTGGGGGGGGGGGAGATATTGTTTCTGAAGAAAAGGGGCATTTCAGGACAGGCTTCGGATGAATGCGAGGTGTCCTGCTCTGCATAGAGATGCAGCAAGAGGACAGGTTAGGGCGTCATGCCCCCCCGCCATCTCACATTTTATTATCCCTTTTGCTGTTCAGCAGCCGATTTTACCTGGAGTGGCGACGGGAATTTGTGATCGCTTTTCACTGGCGAGAAAACGTGGACACCAAGACAGCAGAGACGGGCCCCACAAACACATCATTTTACAACAACGTTTCAAGGAGGAGAAGCCCAGAAGCACTAAGAAACATCAAATCTGTTCACATGAGCTCTGACCTATCACCGCAGGCCTGGGAGTGACAGCTTCAGGGTTTTCCACAACACGGCATCTTACATTACGTAATCACGAGGTGCATTAAAAAGCATATGCAGGGAATCTGGAATCAATGTGCACGACTGATTAAGCACTGCAGTGACTTGCATGGCTGCTCATTAAACGTACGCGAATCCTTCTAGCAACACGCAGACGCCCTTCGGGACGTAGCCCCCATTCTGGACGGCAGTCATATCTCTCCAAAAAGTCACTGATGCTAACCGCCGATACCCAGCATGAATCATTTATACAAAAACCGCATAATAGATTTCTGCTAAGATGGAGAATGACTCAGCTTCTGGGAAAATCGCATTCAATTGTCAGAAGACCTCTGCCCCCCTACCCCCTCACCCCCAGTCATTTTGGGGGTTGGGGGACATGTGACTCACGGACCAGAACTCCTATCCCTCCTCCCCCCAAAATCCCTGGAGAGGCCACACCGGCTATGAGATCTACGCCACAAGTTCAAGAATAGCATCATAAAGAGTGTGAGTCCAAGACAGATCACATACGCTACAGTTACTTATTAATAATGAGGCGAGGACATTCAGCAGTTGTACACCGGAAGGTCTCTGGAGGGGTGCATCATTTTTAACTCCCAGGACCATCTCTGAACTTATCGTGTCGCACGGAAAAACGGAATAAAAAAGTAATAATAATGAGAGATACTCCCAAACAGTAAGAACATTCTAGGTCAGCCCCAATTATGCGGCAAACAGCAGGGCTCCTGAGTGCTCAGCTCTTATTTAAAGACAATCCAGGCCTTGACTGCAATGACACCACTTTTATCGTCAGGGTGTCCAAACACAATCTGCAAGTCTAATAAACCTGAGAGGACTGTTTTAGAAAAGAACCCCCCCCCCACCGCCCTCAGCCCCCCTCCATTTGCCTTCCCTAACTTTAATAGAAAACTCCTCTCAATAGCACCTTGTGCTTATTAAAGTCGAGCTCTGTGAGATGAGAAAGCAAATCGGCTAAAATGACTGGACCGAGATCCTTTGGTTTCCCATTATTAAGACATTTCTTGCCGCAGTAAAGAGAAAGGATTGAATTTTCCTCCTGGACTGGCTCTGCTACCCGGCAATGTGTGATTAGGGTTCATCGAGGAATATTAACTGCATCAGGGATATGATCCAATTGGCTATAAGGCAGCTTCAGGTGAGGATTCTGCTTACAGTCTCCGGCTTGTTGTGGTCTGCGCTCCCTGATACTGACTGAGATTAACTTCTGTGTTTCCTGCACAATCCCCCATGACTCCCCCCCGCTAACAATGTCACACCACAGCATTCCAGAGTCACAGATCTGCCAGTGGAGGTACTGATTTTACAGATGAGATGTTTATTGAAGAAATCACACAACAGAAATCATGATAACTGTTTTAAGGATACAATATAATTTTTAAGCATTAAACCACTAATTATGGTGAAAAGAAAATCCTTTTATGTGCACATATCTTAGAAAATCTATCCCCAATTGTTATGTACTGTTTTGTAAAATGTAAATGAGAATAAACTATGGTTGTACTTCATGATGTACAAAATCTGACAACTAATAAACACTACTTCTCAATGAAAGGGGCAAAAACATTTTAGAAACATTTTCAACATCATTGTGAGCGATGCTCATTATTTTCAAACTCTTCTGATAATTTGCTGTTTCTCTGCATGGTGCAGATTAATCAATCATAATTAGCCAGGCAGTCGGATCGAGTTAAAAATTGGCACAATCAGGGGTATTCAAGCAGATTCAGCCCTGCTGTGTGCTTTCTCTCTTTTTATTTTTTAATGTATGACAGAACAGTGATACATCAAGGATAGAGAAGCTGTAAAGTATCAAAAATGTCTGCTTTTTGAATCATGTGCCCGATCTGGTCTTTTGACATGTTATTGACATTTTTGTGAAATCATTCCAAACGTCTTGTAGGTAGAGCTTAGATCGGGCCCAAAAAATTAAACCCGATCCTACCCGAGCCCGTGCACCTTGTGTCCGAGCCCGACCCGGTCCGACACATTAACTGTAATTATGAGCCCGAGCCCGATTTAAACCCGACTATTTTTTAATACGTGAGCCGTTGTAACAGACGTTCTCAACTACAATTCTAAGTTGTTTGAACTACAGAAATTAGTTTAGATTTATCTTAATGAAAAATGCAACAAGGACGAAGCATGTAAACTGCATTGTTTGTTTATTCAGAATGGATCGCAAATAGATCCGAATGAAAAAAAAACGTGAACAATGATAAACACAGAAAATGAACAAGTAATTAACTTTGGATGGCATATTTAATAAATATGATAACTTTAAGTAAAGGGTTAAGAAAAAGGTTAAATCCTTCCGTAAGCAGCCAACGAGGTATGTGTTAAGTTTTAGTTAAGTTTGTTGTATTTAGCCATGTAAATGCTAACTGAGGTTCGTGTTAACTGTATATGAATTCTCTAAGCTGTCTTTATTGTTATTTATGTTTATATTTCATTTGAATTTCAATGTTTGTTAGCTAATATTGTAAGTAAATATGCTTGATTTTGTGTTTCCGTATCTGTATTTAGTTCTCACGTCTGCCATGATGGTGATAACGAAGCCACTGTCTTTCGAATAAACCGTCGGCTCAGTTAAATGCAAAGGACTCTTGTGCTCTTGTCTTACGGGAGGGAGCTACATTTATAATTATGGCATAGCTCTCCACCCAATTAGGCTAATTAGGTAATGATTTAAAAAAAAAAAAAACACACACAAATGCTTGATCATGGCCCCGCCCAGCCCGGCCCGGCCCGAAGATAGTGGCAGGAAATATCGGCCCGACCCGGCCCGTCAAGTCTGGGCTCGGCCTCGGGCAGAGAATCTAAACTCTACTTGTAGGTACAGCAGATGCCGTGGACCTTTGTTTAATGGCATCAGCTTTCCACAAAACAACTTTTAATTCAGAGAGGTCTCTGATGGGGGAATAAAAAAGTTAGCGATGAGATGAAACTGGTTGCAAGTCAATGACTGAAAGAGAAGCCTGTGCAGTAACAGCGAGATTGGGGACACGACGTTTTGCAGAGGAATGAGGATTCCGCTAAGCTGCGCAACTCTGACTGACGTGTCTCTGATCATTAGAAGGGGTTTGGCAGAAGGAGATCTGGGCTAGACTGGAGGGTCAACCGATCCTTAAACGCACGTACATGCAAAACCGGAGCCCAGCTCATGTTAATGTGCTCCCTTTTTTCAGGGTTGAAGCTTTGGCTTTAACTTATTTGTAGAGACCTTTGTAGACACCATTAGGAGCAGATTCTCCTGTTAGCCGGTAATAGGCAGGAATGGTATGTACTTCCTTTCTCCTGCAAGGGGAATTTGAATTCATCTGAAAGGTTCCCACACATACGTAACCGCAGTGTGACAGCCAGCCAAGCCTCAAAAGTAATGAAGCACATGCATTATCATTACAAACTCACAGAAAAGTCTTATTTTCTGCAGACAGCTAGCTAAGATCTGAATCAACAGCCAGCCAGGTTACAAATATAACACAAAAAACCCCGAGATATTGATATTAGTGGGGCAAACCTGGTGTAGGATATGCAATAGTCTGGAATCTCCAGATTTAAACTCCCCACATCTACTGTATAACATTCCTCCTCAGTCACGTGTGGGATCACACAAACAGAATAGTTACACGCTGAGAGTTTCTTTCTGCTACATGTGCAAATTTGCATATAATTACTTTCAAGGCATTATCCTTCAAACAAGGACTGAAGGAAAAAGGAAAACGGCTGAATTTGTGCGCCATTATCTTCCTGACCCTAGTTTGTATTTGTTTATCATGAGTAAGGATTTTTCTGACCAGGCATGTTTCCTCGCTGGTGTTATCGTCAGTTTTGAATGGTCAGGGGACCAATGACATGTCTCATGGAACGGGGATATGCCCAGGTGGCTCGGAGCGGCTTGACATCATGAAACATAACAGGACGCAAACCTGTCCGGCTGGGATGCTTGCTGTTCCATCACATAAACCTGTTCAACCAGAAGGGGAATTTTGCAAGATGAAACGTAGATATTATTCCCAGCCTGCAAGATATGAGCGCTTAAATGTGTGCCAAAGAAAAATAACTGGGGAAAAAAAAAAAGATGATGCCTACATCATTACAGGAGTTTTTAAGGTATTACAAACATTAGCTCACACTATGGTTAGTAACTGTTTTATTTAAGATTTTACTTAGCTGCAAGTGAATTTCATTCTGAACTGCTACAAAAAGCTAAATGTTTTATATCATCAGCAGGGTGCATTAATCTTCTTGTTCAATAAATTCAAGTTCATGAAAATGACTACATAGCATAAGTCAGTAGCAATTACCCAGCCGCCTGCAAAACTCAATAAATGAAGTATTTATCGTGTCCTTACTGCATTACTGACATATACTGTAAACTGAAACCCACTTGACGCTAAAATGTTGCCATTCATCTCATTTGCACAGACAGGCCATTCCTCTTTTGTCCTCCTGGCCAATGGAAACACAATCTATCACAGACCGCTTCTCTGGTGTCACCAAACAAGGGGTACCCATAACCATTCAGACAATATGGGTACAGCGTTCTTTAGACTGCACTCGGATAAGAGCTTGCTTTCCTAGAAAATCTGACCAGAGCCATACCTCGGTATCTGAGCCGTGACATTGACTCGTTTCATGTTACCTAGGAAACGCTACTCCTGCTAATGGCCTGGGGGTGCTAGCAGTGATAAGTCGGAAGAGCCCATTGTTTACAAACAGAGGTCAGGAAATAAGCAGATGAAACATCATTTATTTATTAACACAATATCTTCAAGCCAATCAACAAAGTCTGGAAATGGAATGTGCTTTTAGTCAACACTGCAGATCCCATCTGTTTGACTGGTACCAAACCATGGACAGAGACTCCAGTATACCGTGCATGCCATGCCCCAGCTCCACCCATGATGTATCTTACCGCAGGAAGGCCCCTCGTCTGATTGGTCTGCGCAGTCACTCCTCCCATCGCAGACGCGCTCCGGTGGGAGACAGACGGAGGTGTCATTGGCACAGGGGTACTTGGGGGGCTTGCAGACGGACACCCCACAATTTTTCTCGTCCGATCGATCCTCGCAGTCCTGGTCGCCATCACATACCCAGTTCTTACTGATGCATTTGCCTGTGCGAGGGAGCAGGTGATGTTTATAAAGCCATTATATGATTGTTCTCCTACAATTCAAGCCAAAAATGAGTTTTTAAAAAAGGGCAGTAAGCTTAGGAGGTTCAGTACATGGAAGTATTGGATGTTATATGCAGGGGCAGGTTTGTTGGACCCCAAAATGCAACTTTCTGGCCAACAAGGGGCCTCATGCAAATATGTGGTTTGAGTGGTATTAAACACTGCCACTGGTAGGTTTCTGTTTTATAACGTTCATGATAAAGGGGTGTGGTGAACATACGCACATCAAAAAGTACTAACTGCATTCATTGTGTGTTACAGTGCTCTTCTGAAACACCTTCACTAACAGTCATCGTGGAAACGTTCAACTATTTTTAGATAATGCTCTGACTGCTGCAGGTTTCAACAGTAAGATTTGGCTTTAAAATGCTCCGTGGGTACAGATGCCCTCCGTATCGCTTCCTGACAGCCCCGGCTTTCCGCGCTGCCGCAGCAGAGGACCGGCGTGCACAGAGTGGTGCGATGCCATGACCGCTACGCTCGCCATTCGCCGTTGCCTGGGTGATGCTGCACGTCGCACCACTGCCTGCCGCGTACGGACCAATCGCGTTGAGGCCCTATTTTCGTCTCATCCGGATCTGTTTGCAGCGTACGTTCCACAAACTCTGCACCGTGCAAAACATACAGGCAACTTCAATGTACAAATGTATCGTCAATATAGGCATATTACTGGGTTTAGGAGAAATAGTGACAATTGTAGCGTCCACTTTGCCAGGTGCTGAATCAGATGCATCATGAAGGTCAAGCTGTCTTTTATTACATATGGCAATACAGGTGCCATAAAATTAGTCTTGTGACCTTTCAACATAATCATCTGCATAATCATCTTGAACTGACTTTGAACTGACAGCAAGGGGGCGTATTACCTAGCCAAACACAGATAACACATGTAGACGAGGTCTTACGGTTTAGGCTGCCAATTTTGTTTTATGGATTAATACTAATAATAATAATAAGAGAGAAAAAGCAATCAAAAATCCTAACAAAAACAAAAGTGGTGCTATGGAGCCCTAATAAATCAACCCTCCAGAAACCCATATACAGACGCTCCTCTACTTACGAACTTTCAACTTACGAACTTTCAGATATACGAACAAAGAGGTGTTCATTGGGCTCCAATTTCCTGTGCGCAACATCAATTTTTTTTTTTCTGCGTGCCAATTCCGGGTAGTATGACTCCTGCCGCACAGTGGCGTAGAGTTCTTACTCCCAGCATCCTAGTTCTTTGTATTTGCATATACCCTTAAAATGATGTTGAATAATGAACATTTCAAGTTACAAACGGCCGTTCGGAAAGTGTCTCATTCGTAAGTAGAGGAGCATCTGTATTTCTTTCCCATACCTGCTGATCCAGTGTAGGATTGTAGCGGACCTACAGTCAGCATCTCATTCCGCATTTAATTTAGCTTTCATGGATGAATATTATTATACTATCTATCTATCGATCGAGCAATTGATCTTGACTGATCAGTCAATGTCAATGGTATCAGAACTGCAAGGTCAAAAAAAAAGTTTTATTTTTCTAAATCTAGGCCTGCAGGATTACAAATTCTTCAAATTGTTCTGAAACCGGCTCATTCAATTAGAATTTAATCTGAAGCAAATGATCTGAGCATAAAAATGCAGAGGAGAGAGTTATTCCCAGAGCTCCCTCCGCATCCATGGGTAACACATTCACTTTATTTGAGGACAAAGAAAACAAAGACATGGGGTCTGGAGCATCTTAACCTCACCGTTCGAAGTCACTCCAGTACGAATAGGTCATTTCCTCTTTGTGAATACAAATCTATTCCAGAAAAATCTAGGTAGAACAACCCACCTACTACTCTTGGGCCATTTTAAATGGAACACGCTGAAGGAATTTTGCACATTACCACACCTGAGGCTCTGCAGTAAGTTTGGCATTTCCAAAAAGTGGAAAAAGTGTTGTGCAGCATGAAGTGCCTGTAATTAGCAAGCAAATTTATGGTGGGGGGGTCTTTATACAAATAAAGAGGGGTGGGGGGGGGGGTGATCTCCCGGCCAGGCCCAAGCCAGAAACCAGATTGCCGGCATTTCTGGAGAACGATGAGAAGTCCCGTCTCTCACAGGACGAGAATAATTACAGAACACAGGAGAATCACGGCGCCGTTACAGGAGCGCAGTTATCGGCCCACAACAATAGAGGGGATAATTAAGCATGCTGAGACCAGAATGTAAACAGTACCGTCCCGAATTAGTAGACACACCGATGTTCGCCATCAAAGGAAGCACACCTGCGGTGACTCGATTATCTTTTCATGAATGTAGCCTCTGCGTCTAACGGGTTTTGTTTGTTTTTTGTATGCCTATGTGCTACAGGCAACGTTGCCATTGTCTGCCAGTCATAAGAACGACCACCGAGGGGACAATAACGCCCTGCAAAATGTGGGACAAGCACATTTAAATCAACGCTATCAGAGCAGTGCCGGAGGTCCACGTTAAACCCTAAATCCAGTGCAATCAATCCTTAACTATGTTTCACAGGAGTTTGTTTGCTTGTTATTATTAAACTGATTTACATTATTCTGCTTTAATGGAAATATGTTACACGTGGATCTTTGGTAATATGGCAAATTAAGACTAATAAGCAGTTGGTGTTCTCTTAAGCAATAAGAAGACTGTGTACCTAAGAGCTTTATTAAGTAAGACTCACAAGGTAAAATTCAGCAGAGTGGAATAAATTCAATCCCAGACAGAACTAGGGGTGAATTATTGCACAAAATAACTAAACCACACAATATAAACAAACTTCCCCTTTAAGCTGATCGCTGTCACTCTCTTAGATCTATTCTTCTTTGTGCATTCACAGTACAGAACTGTCTACAGCACTTTAACGTATAGGTGCTTTATTTACATGACTACTAAACAGGCCAAAGCCATGGACTGAACAATACCCAGGAAAATAATCACAAATAAGCCCCGGAAACAGTGTTCTGATTTTCCAGTATGTTATACATATGACAGGACTTTTTGTGCCATAAATGCAGAATTACCTATGATCGACTTTTGCTTACAGCCAGGCGGGCGATACGTTTCGCATAGTGCCATGATATGCCGTATGCATTACATTCCGATCCGACCTGTGAATTTTGAAAAACAATGAACCACCTTTACACCTTTTCTGAGTCGCACACAAATGTGTTTCATTCAGCTTTAATGGGTTTTGCAATTTCTGACTATTTCATAATGATTATTATTTTGTGCAACAGAGTAACAGAACAAAAACGGTCTCCTCTGTGAAGGGCAACAAGCAAAATAATGGTGGTGAATCAGCGCAACTGGAAGCCGAACCGTCCCCTAGTCTGACCAGAAGTGATGGATGGGCTTGAGATCAATCAAGCCTGAAATTCCTTCCCTGCATTTGTGTTTCAGATCCACAATAAAGCATCTGCATTAGTCCTGAACGGGTCATTCCGCTTGAATACCTGGCGAGGGCTCAGAGGCAGCTGTCAGAGATTCCTGCACTTGTACAACGGAAGAAAACAAAACAAGCACCCTCGCTTGCAGAAATAGCCCCAGATTGCCCATTGCTTTTCCTTCCCCTATTTTAAAGGGAATATAATGAAAATTGCAGTTGGGAATCCTCCTGGACTTCCAATTTGCCCGGAAACATTGATTGCAATCCAAAGTGGAACAAAAGGCACCGTAAAAAGAGAAAGGCCCCAGCAACATGAAAGCTCTCCCATTCCACATCAGTGCTGGCCAACGAAGGTCCTTGACTATGAGTCGCTCGAATGTTGTCAACACCCATTACCTTCCAGCTCTCATCTTCTCAATGCCAGCCGGGAATCAGTACAGTAGACTTTCATTAAGATCACTGGAGATAAGGTCATGGATACTCAGTCCTCTGCCCTTCTGTCCAATTATTTCCGCTTACTTATCTCAGTTTCTTCTTAAGTATTGAGGGGGAGGGGTGTAATTTTTGTGTGACACATGATAAACTAACCAGTCAACACCCTTTGCTCCAATGCCCTCAAATGATCATAAATCGCTGTAAAGATTCTGTGTTATTCTTGAAAGAGTCCTGATGACTCACAAGTACAATCTATCTTCCCTCTCATGCCTCATAACCTGGGCCCGTGATTCGAATATCTGCCTGTGTTTGGAGAATGAAATTTCCCCTTGTGTCCAGATGTTTGCAGATGTGTGCATTTACCCCCCCCCCCCAATCACACTGATCATTATTGCCTGTGATCAGTATGATAAGCATGCACAAACAAATACATTTGTGAAGAAATACTTTTAAAACTCACTGCCTAGATGCCTGTCATATATAAACCATTTATAGCCATGTGTTTGTTTGTTGTTTATTTGTTTTTATTCGGCACCAGAATTGCTGCATGATTTATCTTCCCAGCAATGATGATGATGATTGCTATTGGCAAAGCACCACAGGTCCCCTAACCTGCTGGACGTTTTAACGGAAGTGATTCCGGTTACAATGGCAGGGCTCCGTCCGGGACTGGCGCCAGCCGTGTTATGACCGTGAGCCCGTATCGTTAGCTGCTACACGTCCAGCTGGCTGGGGCCACCTTCCAGACCGTGTCCATGAAAAAGCCTCTTTCTTACCAATGTCTCTCTCAGTAAAAGCAGTACCTGACTAACGTAAATAATCCGTTCCACAAACCTATTGTCTAAGTCAAATTTTACGGAAGTTGGATTCATCTTCACGTACCATTGTTACCTTAAAGGAAAAACAGTAAAAGAATACTAGTAATACATGAAGAACATACATTAAACAAATGAAAAGTACAAACAAACTTATAGGTGGATATTTTTTGCTTAAGTTCAGATTTACTTAATTTGGTTTTACGCAAGCCTACAGCTGTAGGTACATTTCAGTATATCAATATGTAGCACCTACTGTATAATACTATATTACTATATAATACTATATTACTATATAATAATATATTACGAAGAATGAGAAATATCATTTTAGCGTCATTAGAGCATAACAAATCCACGCATATACAATTATAATATGAAAACTTACACTGATGGGCTGGCAACCAAACAAAACACAACTGTCTCACAATATCAGCAACAAAAAAAATGCATTATGAAGAACAATAAACACCAAATCAGAGCCCAACAGCCTTCAGCAATGATGCCGTTCAGATATGGATGCAGCCAGGGGACGTGTGCGTCTGCTCCGGGGAGGCGTCGATGCGGCTGGAGCGTGCTGGCGCGTCCCTCGGCTTATTTTATGGTAAATGCTCCATTTTTATGAGACGCGTTCGGTGGCGCAGATCAATACGGGCTCCAGCGGGACACCTCCAGCGGCACACCTGATCCTGAACTCACGTGGGTAATCAGAAAATCGCCGCCCCCCCCACCCCCCCGCCCCCCGGTTTCAATTACAGCGTGAGCCAAACACACTCGGTGCTATTTCGGGAGGTGTGTGAAGCGGCGTAAATTGATCCAATTTGATATAATAAATACAGTTTGCCGGGAGGCAGCGGTGGGCTCGCTCCACGTTGCCGCTGGAAGGCACCGGAGCTGGGAGTTTGGAGTAGCCTGTGTGAACATGTTATGGAAGGGGAGCCAAATGTAGGGCAAACATGGTGCATTCCAGACCCCGATGATGCAAACAGATTAACTCAGCCCACAAATACAGTTCTTTTGAAATTCACTCACTGGTCACTTTATTAGGCAGACCTGGCTAGTGCTGGACTGGACTCCCTTTTTCCTACAGAACCTCCCTAATCCTTTGTGGCATAGATTCAACAAGATGCCTTTTTGGTCCATGTTTGTCAGCCGCACCTTCATGATGCGAATCTCCCGTTCCACCACATCCCATAGGTGGATTGAGATCTGGTGACTGTGAAGGCCAGTGAACCCACTGTCAAGATCCAGAAACCAGTCTGAGATTATATGAGCTTTGTGACATGGCACATTTAGTAGCCATTAGAAGTTGGGTACACTGTGGTCATAAAAGGATTGACATGGTCAGTGACAATTCTCAGGTAGGCTGTAGCATTTAAACGTTGCTCAATTGCTACTAAGGGGCCCCAAATGTGCCAAGAAAATATCCCCCACACCATTACCCCACCAGCAGCAGCCTGAATTGTTGAGTCAGGATAGCCCCATGCGTTCATGTTGTTTATGGCAAATTCTGACCCATCCATCTGAATTTCACAGTAGAACCTGAGACTCATCTGACCAGGAAACATTTTTCCAATGTTCCATTGTCCAATTTTGGTGAGCCTGTGCCCACTGTAGCCTCGGCGTCCTCCTCTTAGCTGACAGGAGTAACACCCAATGTTCTGCTGCCGAAGCCCACCTGCTCCGAGGTTCGACATGTTGTGCATTCACATGTTCTTCTGTATTACCCATTACCACAAAGCTTTGCAGAAGGTGGGCAGGTCAGCGCAGCGCATCACCAAGACTAGGCTGCCAACCATTGAGGAAGGCAGAAGATCCTCTCCAACCATTGCCAGCCCAGCCACAGCCTTTTCAGGCGGTACAGGAGCATCAAGACCCAAACCAGCAGCCTCAGGGACGGTTTTTATCTCCTCTCCACTCATCACCTTTACACACAGCGGTTACCCCATACCCCTGGTGCTGCTCACACATACTTTTACATTGCACAGCACAGCAATACAGCACTAATCACTTTTTGAATCATATCTTCCATTCATACATGCATTTATATATATATATATATATACACACATACATACATACACACGTACATATGTACATATAATTTAAAATTTTTCACGTCATCCTGTTTTCGTTACTGTGCAAAAGTTGAGGTGTCTCTGAACCTAAGAATTTCATTACTGATAATGATACTGCGTTGTTACCAGTGTATGACAATAAATCTGCATAAACTTCTGCATTATCTTGGTTGTATCGAGTGCATATTTTAAATACTGTTGCCTTTCTATCAGCTTGAACCAGTCTAAGGTGAGTTTCCCGAAGCCTTCTTAACGGTACGTCATTCGGAAGTTCTATCTTCTTACATAGAACTTACATATGACGTAGCGATAAGGAAGCTTTGGGAAAATCACTCCTGGCCATTATCTGACCTCTGCCATCAACAAGGCATTTTCAGTGAACCGCCAAGTGGATGTTTCTGCTTTTTCAGGCCATTCTCTGTAAACTCTAGAGATGGTTGTGTGTGAGAATCCCAGTAAATCAGCAGTTTCTGAAATACTCATACCAGTCCATCTGGCAGCAACAATCATGCCACGTTCAAAGTCACTTATATTCACCTTTCTTCCCCATTCTGGTGTTTGATGTGAACATTAACTAAAGCTCATGACCTGTACCTGCATGATTTTATACATTGTGCTGCTGACATATGACTAGCTGATTAGATATTTGCTTCAACAAGCACTTGAACAGGTGTACCTCACGATGTCACCAGTGAGTGTATATACACACTGATGAGCAAAAACATTATGACCACCCCCCATGTGAAGCAAATAATGTTGAATGTCAAGCATCTGTGGGATGTGCTTGACCAACAAAACCAATCCATGGCTATTCATACGCAGCAGGACTCGGTGTACTGTGTGTCATGACACATTACTCCCATACTTATCATCAAATGTATCTGCTATTTGTGCCAGAGTAGCCCTTCTGTTGGTTTGTACCACATGGGACAAACCACATGTACCTCGTTCACATCTCATGTCTTGGTTGCTCAGTCGGCAGTTCATAGTTTTTCCCTCCTCAGACCGCTCTCAGTAGGTGCTCACCAAGGCTGACCCCAAAGGCCATGCAGATTCAGAGATGCTCTGTCTGGCCATAATCATTCGGCCTTTGTTAAAGTTACTCAGATCTTTACTCCTACCCATTTCTTCTATACTCAACATGTCAACTACAAGTACCGAATGTTAGCTTACCATCGAATACATTCCAGACCTTGGCATGCACCATTTTTATGAGATAATTAAAATAATTCATTTTACATGGGGGTGATCATAATGTTTTGGCTCATCAGACTATATTTAAATCCACAAGTATTATGCGTTTCCTCTGTGAAGTTAAACATTTGGTTTGGTTAAGGACTAAATTATTGTAAAATCCATTCACCTTCCAACTGCATACTGAGTATACGGTCACAGTGACGCCTGCTGCAGTCCACAATGGCCCCAGCACAGGGGAACACCATGCAGAGGATGGCAGTCCGGTGTGGGGCACACACAGGCACGCAAACCCTCACACAGCATGGCCAGTGATAAGCACCACAATTCCATTAGAGCAAAATTGCACAGAAGAGCACAGAGGCTGCACAGTCCCCAGCAGGAAGGATGAGCTGTCAGAAGCACGCTGGCACTGCAAACTGCGGCTACACACCTGACGCTTGGCAGGTGAACTTGGCCTTGGGGTCGCAAACCTTCTTGATGTCCTCACAGGCAAACTCGTCGCTTCCGTCCTCGCAGTCCTTGTCGCCGTCGCAACGCCAGCGTTCGGGGATGCAGGTGTAGTCGCTACCGCACTGGAACTCCTCTACACCACAGTCGCTGCGAGGAGGTGGGGCTTAGGGAGAAAGAGAGACCCCTCTCAAAACCGGTCATATGCAGACCTCCATCATCAGCACAAACCCCCCCCCCCCCCAATGCTGGTAACATGGCTACCTCCAGTATCAGCAAACTTATTTCTTTTTGGGTTGGTTACTGACAGTGCTGCTCTTCATCTTCAGTTAACGATCGCTGAATTGATGCACCTTCATTTTCCGTAAGGGAAGTAAAGACTAGAACAGCTGATTATTACATGGTTCACATCCAGAGCTGCCCATGTGCTTTAGTTCTAACTACCCTACTAAATAAGGTAATGCAAACTACACATCTTAATGGTTGGACATCAATGGTCATGCATCCATGAAAGGCCTGTAAAGCTACCCTTGCAATAATATTACTGTCACCATACACAGACAAAACTCCAGAATAGCTTGCAAAACTTATTCAGAACTTACTAATGGGCCAGATAATGGTTAAATATCAATAGAAAGTGTGATGATGTCTAGCTAATTACTCAGCACTTTCCAAGACTCCTTAACCAGAATAGTAACTGGGAAACTTAGATATGCATGCAACTTTGGACAAAAAATGTGCAAAAACTGAAAATAATAACCCAAATAATGAAATCCCAGTGGACTCACTGCTGTTTCACTGTAGCGGAAAGCTGAATGAAGCTTAATAAAGAATCGGGTGGACTTGGGCAGCCTGTGAGCACTGGTTTCGCTTAATCGCTATGATAATAACGCTAATGCTAAGGAGACTGACAAAGGGGTGACGTGTCCCATCACTGTCTGGCCAACCACAGTGCATTTCTCTGTAAGGCCTAAGCTGACACCTAAAAGCTGTCACTCCCACCCGGGAGGCTGATTAGTCACGTGACAACAAACAGAGAGGTTTCATACAAGCGAGGCCAGTATTTCCTTATGTGCTTGACAAGCCTGAGAATAAAACATTCACCCTGAAACCAAAAAGAGAGAGGATGCTACCTAACGTCGGCTCTAAATTAGCATAATACATCCCCAGCTCTCAGAGATCGGCTCATTTAATATCCCCCGGTCTGACACTGCCAACCTGCCTAGAATACATACACATTACAATCTAAAACATACGATGATTCAATTTCCTGCTTTGTCTTCACACATCCTTCTAGAGACTCCCAGGCCTGAGCCAACGCACCTCTACTGGGTCGGCCTCTTGAGACCACGGAAGTCTGGGAAGTGGTTTGAGAGGAAGCTTTTGATAAATAGCTTCCTCATTTTCCTGACAAGCTACTGGGCTGTAAGCATTCTGAGCGCCCATATCTGCCCCGCTGGATAATTATAGCAGATTAAAGAATCCAAATCCAGAGGATGCTTTACTAAAAACAGATAGAGCAGATTAATTCGACATGAAGTGAGGACATACTAAACCTAATTAAGGTCCCTAAAAAGCAATACCAGCATATTCTTGCCCATATATTTTACAACTGCTTATACTAGTCCAGGCTGTTGTAGGCTGGGGGGCACTATCCCAGGCAACAGAGGGCACAAGGCTGCAGTACACCAATCCATCACCGAGCACATATACACACACCATATTCTATGGGCAATTCAGAGACATCAATTAGCAGCATGTGTTGGAAGAAACCAGAGTACACAGGGAGGACATGCAAAATGCACACAGAGAGCAGAACCCCCGAATACACAGCTGATACAATATGAATGAAACTGTTTGTTGTTACTGTTAGGAAATATTCACAAATGGTACATAAGCAACACACCAGCACCCCCACAGGTGGAATTTTCATCGCTGAAGTCTCCGCAGTCGTTATCACCATCACAGGCCCAGTGGTTCGGGATGCAGCGTCCACTGGCGCACTGGAACTGTGCATTGGAGCAGGAGTGCAAGCAGCCCACCTCGTCACTGCCATCACCGCAGTCATTATCTGGATGCAAAGAGGAAGGCTAGGATCAGGGGGAACTCCACACTGCCTACAGGGGTAAGGGGGGAACCCCACTCTGTGTGCAGAGGGTTAGGGGAGAACCCCACTCTGTGTGCAGAGAGACAGGGGGAACCCCACTCTGTGCAGAGGGTTAGGGGGGAACCCCGGTCTGTGTGCAGAGGGTTAGGGGGGAACCCCGCTCTGTGTGCAGAGGGTTGGGGGGAGCCTCGTCTGTGTGCAGAAGGTTAGGGGGGAACCCCGCTCTGTGTGCAGAAGGTTAGGGGGGAACCCCGCTCTGTGTGCAGAGGGTTGGGGGGAGCCCCACTCTGTGAGCCCCCCTGCCCGGCTAAGTCAGCACCTCTGCAGGAGATGACAGCCAAGACAGCCACCTATGTCCAAATGGTTGCGGATATATTGACTAAGGCTGCATGTGGCGCTAGTGTCCTACAAGGGACTTCTTGAATTTGCAACGTTTCTCTAGCCACAGCCGCCCCTGATGGTGCTCCTCAAATGATCGCCCGATGCTCTGGTAACCGGCTGGCTCCATGGACAACAAATAATGCTCCTCGCGCTGCCTGTTGAAGACTGTATCATTGGCCAGGAACACAACCTCCCAGCGGGGAAGAAAAGCTGCATTATGGCAAGCAGACGGTCCCCTGGGAGAGCAGCATATCACATTTCATTACGTCTGCCTTCTAGTACAGCTGAGTGGTGCCAGGTCATGGTGGCAGAATGTGCCCCAGCCCATTACGGAGCGGCTAGAAGCTTTTACTCTGAGAATCAGCCACTCAGGGGAGGCTCCCTTGTGCTGTCACCCTGCACTATGAAGCGACGCAGTGAGGGAAGGCTGGGCAGACCACAACACCCTCCTGGAGCTGCCTGGATGCTCCACAGTCATTACACAGCATAATAATCAGCATGCGCACAACAAGCCTGGCAAAGGCGTCCAACCATTCAGCTCCTTTCTCACCATTTTTTTATTGATGCAAGATGTTCCTGACCCTCACAGGGATCCCCAGCCTAGCGTACGTATTTGATGTCTTCTCAGCATACGTCACAGTCTTAAAAACCATATGTCAATGTTTTGTTTTTTTTCGCCTGCCAAGCCGATACGCTATGTATTCCTGGCACGCCTATCACCAAAAGGCCGTCCAGATGCACACCACTGATTAACACACCGAAAATTACTGGGATCTCGCTGTACCGCGGTTTGAATATGGGTGAATCGAGGCCCAGCTTGTTTGCATTCGCACAATAAGAGGATTGCTGGCCTAGGACTCGGGCCATCCCTACATCAATCACACATGTATTGCAGCCACATTCTTGGCTTCATACACACACTAAATGATGTAGTGTTTGTGGACCCCTCCCCCCCTCCCCACCCGACAGAACAGAAGCAGCGAGGAAGGCCGCCGATGCTATATCTCTCTATTTAAACATCTGAATGCGATAAATGCAGTGGTGCATGTGCTCAGCGAGATATATAATCAGCATCTGCAAATGAACAGAGCGCGGAAACTCACCCGAATCACAATGCCACTTGGCACTGACACACCTCCCATTGGCGCAGGCAAACTGGACGAGGGGCTCGCAGGTGGGGAAGGCTAATGGAAAGTTCCAGAAACAAAATCACGTTTTACAATTTATTTGTAAAGACATTCAAATGCTTTTAAAAATCACGTCTCTTTAATTGTTTTAAACAAACAAACAAAAACAGACCAGTTTCATGGAAAGCAATGAATAAGCCCACCAGAGGATTTCATCAAACTAAGAGACTGAAATGTGTTTTGTATTTACTTCAACAATCCTGGATTCAACACTCTTACATATGACATATAAACATTTCAATTTCCAAGTGAGGCTACAATAGCAAACCTTTTTTATTGGTTAAAACAAGGTCGTTTCAAAGTGCAGGGACTCAATATATCACAAATGGTCAAAAACCAGAAGGTGAAATCTTTATTATTTTCAGTATTGGGATGAGTACATCTGCTCTCCCCTTCATCTAAAAGGCACAGAAACACACATCAACGAAAAAGTATAAATACAAGGTTATCCAGCATCGCACGGAAGTTGCTTTAGTTTTGGTAAATTATACAGCCCTACAAGAAAAAAAAAATGATAAACGATCCAAGACCCTGGGTTAATGAACACTCCTGCAAGTCACGGAATTATATTTATTTATTGGAATTCATTGCTAGACCACTGTGAATCTAATTAAAGCCCAGGCAAATAACTTCAGGTGAAACTTAATCACAGCGGAGTTGCGGTGGCACGCTTTCACATGTAGGGCTTTCCGGCTCTTCAGCCTTTCTCCGGACGGCTACAGCCACAGGACCGCCTCGCAGCGGACACCCCCTCTCTTCCATCCACGGGATTAAGGATGTCATTGATGCTGACAAGTGAACAAGACGAAAAATGAATGGGTACCCTAATTAAGCGGCATCTGTCAGATAATTCTTCTTGCAAGGTGGGAGGACTGGACACAGAGCAAAGGCCCGTCTCAGTGAGTACAGCTTACCAGAGGAACACGTTTACACATACGCATCTAGTCCGTTTGTCCCTCTAATAATTATATCCATTCTTTGCTGTCACTTTCTGAGACCATTAATTTGCGCCCCACTTTATACGGTGGAGGTTACCGTTTTAACAAGCCTGACTCCGGAAATCTGAACCCGCCTCCATAAAACACGCAAATTAACCTATCCATAAAAGCTAACCGTGCGCTCGCCGCATTTTTCAGCCGGGAAGTGGCCTCATAATTCATGTGGCAGTTAAGCAAAAACACGGAGTGACTTTGGAGTACAGTGCACGCGAGCCCATTAACTTCACATACCGCGCGCCTGCTTACCGGTGTCACCCGGGAACGAACCCGTAAAAAGCCATGGGATATGAGTACATTTATATCCCAGCTTTGGGCTGGCACACTTCGCACGCCTTCCAGAGGCAGCATCCCTGTCGTCCTTCTGGAAGAGTGTTAAAAATACAAACGCGGGTACGGGAAGCATAGCGCCCCGCGGTCATCGGAGGTGAGCGGAAGCCGACGCGCTTCTGCTGGAATCCGGCTCCGGGCTCGAGGCGGCGCCCACCGCGCGCCACGCGCGAGAGGCTGATGTGACGGGGAAAAGGGGGAAAATAAAACAAAAAAGAGGGAGAAGAACATGTCAGGGTTGCTAACTCCCATGCATTTGGCGTGACACGCAAGAAATCTTCCGGCAAATCAATTTTATTCCGTTATAGATTTAAAATTAACTAGACCTTGGGTAGTTTGCAAACCCTACAGATTATGTACAAAGTAATATAAGTGGTGCATACATGTAAATGCGTATGCAAACTCACGCCAGCCACCTGACCAAAGCTGGTCAGGTTTCTCGTAGTTGAATATTATTTAGAGAATCGGAGCGTAAAGTTTAATTATACAGTAGTAGTTTGTGTCTGTACCGGAGCGATCTGCGATGCACACCGGCCGTAACCGAGACGCTCGGACGCCATCACCGGACCGGCACGGAGCTATTCACTGCTCCTCCCCTGCCGCTATTTATCTTATTTATTCACTCGTATATACTTTTCTTTGTAATGCACCAGGGCTCTCTTACAATGGAGCGTGGTGTAATTCACGCCGTTGCAGCTGCCCCTCTGCCTCTTTCTTGAAGTATACAAAGTGCACTCTGCATAAAATACGACCATGAAAACACGCATCTGAATCTGAAATAGGGGTAGTAAAGCCAAATAAAAGACAGGCAAATTAGCCACTAAGGCCAATGAACGTTCAGCCAAGATGTGCCAGGAAAAATATTTGGCTGGGCCATGACTAAGCTTACGGGAAATGCGGAACAGGGGATGCTTACACAGCCGGGATGTAGGCTGCCAAAAGGCAACAGAAACGAGTGTGTCTCAGGCGACTATACCACAGCATCCTAGAGACATGGGGGAGGCCTGCCAATGGCTTAAAGGCCAAAACGAAGGAAGCTGTAAAGCTATGGAATGAAGCCGCAGTGCTCTGCAGCGCCTTAAGGATCCGGCAGGCCGGACCGCTGTAGAAGGCAAGGAAAAGTCCACCAAATGCGCAAATTAAGCCTTTTTAATACCAGTATGTCAGCTCCAGGACAGCAGGAGCTATACCCAGTAACCCCTCCCTTCGTCTAAAGAAATTACAGAGTGAATAATTAGGTCATGAGGAATCTTTCTCTGAAGTTACAATACAGGTCACGTTGTATTTGGGGAAGAAAAATCCCTGTCTCTGTTAGTGAGATGGGTCAAGACAAAAGCTTTATTCCCACTAAGTGCAAATATGAAGGCCCCTGTCCATCAATTTAATTTATTTAGCAGTTACTTTTATCCTAGACGGTATACAGTTCCAGGACCAACTGGGAGTTAGGGGCCTTGCCAAAGGACCCAATGATGAAATCATTCTGCTGACTCAGGGATTTGAACCAGCGACCTTCCGATCACAGCCAGTGTCCCCCAGTGCCCCCAACTGCTTATCCTGTTTTGTGTACGTATAATATATAACGTCCATGTGTCATATGAGAGACAGTTCAGCTGATGCAATCAGGAATGTATAGGTGGAGTTCGTGTCTGTCCCCCAGGCCCCTGGGTCTGCCCGGGTGTCTCTGGCAAACCGCGACGTCGGTCGAGTTATGCTTCGCTGCGCTCGGAGGCGCCCTCGGGAGGCGGGCAGCGGAGCGTGAGGGGGGTGAGCAAACGTTGGTTTGCAGCAGCCGGTCTGGCTGTTTGTCCTTCAGCGTTAGCCTCTTGCGGCATAAAAACACAGGCTTTGAGAAGACCAAAGGGCCACACGTGCTACACACCAGGTCTGGCCTTGGCTTATAATGAGCAGAGCATAGGAATCCTTACTCATAAGACCAGTGGGGCATATGAGGATATCTTTCCAACAAACTAAAAATGTTTTATTTGCTCAAATGGAGCAAAAGGGGCCTGGTACACCCTTTATATCCAGAAAGCAACATTTAAAGAAAGAAATATATTTATCTTGGTGCAACCGGGCTTTGAAAGTATTGCCTCAACACAGAGTTTCTTCCAATCCAGTAAGTAAAACCTGCCGCAAATTACTCATTGTAGTCTGTTCGGCAGCTCTCGAGACAGGCGACGCCTTCCACTGTTTTCCTTGACCTCCTCCCCACCGCCATCCCCAAGAAGCAGAAGACGAACACTTATCCCAGTGAAAAATAAGAGCTTCCATGCAAGACCTTTTTTTTTTCCTGGACCGACTGCTTGCATTTCAAAGGAAGAAAAAGTACAGCTGGAAAGTGCTTTTAAAAACGCCACTTGGCTGTGGACACTGCTGGTTCCGCTAGACGGACATGAAAATGCACGACGCTTTTGAGGTCTGGTCAAAGCAGCCATCACCGCTGTGGACCCAGACATCCTCGTAAACATCACCTTCCAAACACCACCTGCAACCATTTTACCGGGTTCCTCTAAAGGGTGAAGTCAGCGGGATGTGGTCACTTTCCAGACATTTTTTTTCCCAGCCAGAAGCGATCTTTTATTTTTTTTTATTGCCTACTGGCCTATCATGCCTGGAGGAGAGGATTGTGCTGTTAGACTGAGAACAAGCCTGTAGTTTTACCCCCCCCCTGAACTTTCTCTGCATTGCATATTCCTGCACATGTAAATGTGGGATTACAGCATTTTAATCGCACGCCCCCGTGCCCCCTCCGCCCTGGTGCTCCAGGGCTGCAAACAGGTGGCTGCTGTCAGCACTCACTGCATGAGGACGTCTCGTCGGAGCGGTCCCCGCAATCGTCATCCCGATCGCAACGCCAGGACTCCGGGATACAGCGGCCATTGTGACAGGAGAACTGATCCGCTTGGCATGTCTGAGCTAAAAACGGAAGAAGAAAAGGTTTATTCGAGTGATTTCATTGTCACGGGATTAGGGCACCCGTTGAGTCTGTTTTTGGAGGCTGGTTGGCCTTTTAATGGTCTGTGGGTTTTTGAAAGTGTCTAACATCTTAAAGTTTTAATACACTCACTTAGCTAATGTGCTTTTCCAGCAACAGAAGGACAAAATAGACCAGGGGTATTACAGCCTCAGCAGTATGTTAATGTTTGTCTAGGTGCGTATGAGCGTTTATACGAGCTTTATTTCTGGGATTAAGCATAAGAGAGAGCTTTCAAAATATAAATAGAAAATATAGATACTCCTAGTAGCACATTAGTGAATGTGGTTATGCCTCAAACGAGGTTTTGGGGACAAACCACAAGTGACTGCTGTATGTAGTCATGCCACTAATGGCGGGCTTACGAGGACCACGACAGGGGTGATGAAACAGAAAATGCGGCGATGCAACACGGCCCTATTGTGAATCGGCTACGCGACGGGCCCATCTGGATGGGATTTCAGCGGAACTCAGGAAGTATGAACTCTATCTCCGGTGACCCGGCCGTTTCATCTTCAGCTTGGCGCCGCAGGAAGCTGCCGTAGACCCGCGGATGTTTTGATGTCCCTGTCGATTTCTTTCTGGACGTGGGAGGAACTTAGGTTTTCTGTCAGTGTATGACAAGCAGATAAATCAAGACATGTTTAACAAAGACACCGATATATAATGAGAGAATGGGAGGCCGGTGTCTACATAGGAGCGACACGGGACGGTGGTACGAGGGCCATATTCTACATAGGAGCGACACGGGACGGTGGTACGAGGGCCATATTCTACATAGGAGCGACACGGGACGGTGGTATGAGGGCCATATTCTACATAGGAGAGACACGGGACGGTGGTACGAGGGCCATATTCTCAGGTGGCACCAGTTAACTGCAGGCCGACTCATAATCCCAACAACCTCCGTCTGTGTCTCAGTAACAGGTGCATCTGTGGTGAAGTGATGTGACCGAAACATGATTTTAATCCGTCTTTCAAGTTCCGGCTCTGCATTTCAAAGCGTATAGTAAAATCGGCATTAAATTACACAGCTGAATAAACTGTAAAGTACTGTCTCCAACTTGCCTAGACTGAAAAACATCAAAACAAAACTAAAAACAAAATTATATTCCTAATGTTAATTTTCTCAGTATCCTGGGGGGTAATTCCTATAATCACTTATTTTCTGTGAGCAATCACAACGAAAAATAATTGCAATGGTAATTACAACTGGACCAAAATCTGTCTGGCTATTGGAATTCTGAGTTGGAATTCTCCTGGGAAGAATCTGGAATATAGTTTCTAACTAACTAGACAAACTTTCCTTTCTGGTACTTTAGAATCATACACACATCCCTTTCAAACATGACTAATATGGGATTATGATGGGTCTAGAACCTACAGTATCCACCAATTCCACAATTAGCGTGGGATGCTAGTCCAACACAGAGCACACACACGCCCACAAGAGTTGTGTAATATCTTCTACAAAACAAATAGAGCATATGTGTCTTGGGATGGAGACAGCACTGGGGTTATGATACCCATATATCAGAATGAATGTCTCGAAAGCCTAACATTTAGAATAATCAGGGAAATGCACAAAGTACATATTTGGATTCATATCCATTCTTGAAGCATGGTCCTGGCAATTTCTTTTTTTTTACACCTCACGAGATGTAAAACACACCAGCAAGCTGTGACAAACGCCGTACGACTCTCTCAGACACAAGCAATAAATCAGAGCAAGCAGCACCTAGCAGGAGGAGGGCCAGCCAGACTGCCTAAGACTTTCCATGTATTATCACTTTCTGAAGCAGGCCGTGAAGTATTTCAGCTCAGCTGAGGGAAAACAGCTGTGATCAAACACCAAGACTTTTAAAGTTATTTAAGTCATAACTCATCAGAAGACACAAAACATCCACACTGTCCTGCCTTGTATGTGTGTGTGTGTGAGTGTATATTTTATAAAACACATTATTACAGTGTGTGTGGCACAGTGGCTCAGAAGGGTTCGAATCCCATCTGTGTTTGGAATATATATATATATCATGAGGACCAAAAACCATTTTTTCGGGGAAACTCAATTTTCTAAAAATCTGAGACTATAATCAAAAAACTAAAAAAGGTTAGGGGCAGGGGTTAAGGTCATCATAGGTGGGATTAGGGTTTTGCCCATAGAAATAAATGGATGGTCCCCACAATGATGTGAATACAAACGTGCGTGTGTGTCTGGTTTTTGTATGCTTTTCACATGTCACACTGGTGTCCTCCTGCAGTCCCTCACATGCAGTTAGATTACATTTATTTATTTCACATAAGATTTTAGCCAAAGCAACGTACATATTTGAGAAAGCAAAGTCAGTCAGTCCCTGGAACGTAAAATCAGTCTGCCAAACCTAGGATTTGAACCAGTGACCTTCCAATGATAGACACAGAGTATCCTAATCTGCAGAGCTGGGTGTTTCTGAATTGCCCATTGAGTACGACTGTCTGCAGATGCTGAGAGAGGCTCCTGTGAGCCTGATCAGGATAAGCGATTAGAGGATGGATGGATTATCACCATGTACAGTGTGCTTCCGGCTAACCTGTGAGCTCTATTTCACTGTGACTCTGTAGGAGAGTCAAAGCAGAGGGCACTCTGTATCAGCTTTCACTTGATTGGTGCTACTGACGGACATTTACCGGCACACGTGGAGTTGGACTCGTCCTCTCCACCCCCGCAGTCGTTGGTCCCATCGCACAGCCACCTCTTGGGGATGCAGCGGTTGTTCAAGCATCTAAACTGGTCAGGGGGGCAACTGCGGTTATCTGCATGGGGCAAGAGGCACAGTGTTGTCATTGCTTTTCTATACATATACAGAGACACAACACAAAACTTACTTGACCCTATACTTACTAGGGGTGTAACAGTGCACCGCATATTATCGAACCATTCAATACGACTCCTACTCCAATACGCACTGAACCACGGTATTACGATGTGTCTGGCATTTTCGTAAATGTACTGGCGTGAATATAAGACGGTGTTTTTCCCAAAAAAAAAACAAAACCTGGGGTCATCTTATTTTTGAGGAATAGAATTTAAATGTTATTATACAACAACAGATGGCATTAATTATCCGCCTCCTGGCTAAAAGTAGCCGCATACTACAAACATAATAGACATTGTTTCAACAATGCAACATCATATAAGCAGTGATCCCGCAGACTGTCGACAATTGGTTTACATTTGGCTGACATAATCCTACCCACTGTCGACAATTGGCTGACATAATGTGAGGCCGTGTGGTTGGTCAGCAGCCAGCATGCTTTATATCACATCGCACTTATCTTTAAATGGTGTAAATGAATGTGTAGTTGTGTATTTATGTTAATTGTAAATGTTGTTACTGTGTAATGTTTGCCGTGTGTTTCATTAGTGTGGGGACTGTGTGTGGCTTAGTGTGGCTGTAACCAGGATGTCACCCCTTTGAGCCCAGACTCAGCACATCTGTGGCTGCTTGAGCGAGGCCCTTAACCCCCAGCTCCATGGGCATGGCTATGGGTGGCTGCCCTTCGCGGCCAGCTTGCTCCAACTTACAGAGAGCGAGTTGGAGGAGGGATAAAAGAGAATTTCCCTGCGGGGATCAATAAAGCATCTAAAAAAAAGAAGTGCTATGTAAAATGATGGCCTCCTTTTCTGTGTGCTACCAGAGGTGGGAAGTTCCGCTCCAGAGAATAAAAGTCCAGACCATGATTTTGTTTCAACCAACCAGTTAAGAGTCACAGTCAGAGTACTCAACTGCTTGGTTGGTCTGGATTTGAACTCTTTGGACCTTTATGAAAATGACTTGATCACTCGCCACAATGGGTTTTTTGCCCCCTTTATGTGGGTCTGCTGCATCAGAAACATTCTGCACTCTCTTGGGTTGTGGAGTTTGTAACGTTGATTATCTACCTACACTTAATGTGCTCCGATGGCCTGTGGTTACTTTTTAACAGTGATATCCATAACTTTGGTTATGTTTTTGTCAATTAAAATTATTTTTCTTTATAAAGATGACATTCAGTAGCAGTCGCCTTGCTTCAGAGAGTGTTCACATGCTTATCTTCTTACAAAGAATCTCACCATAAAGAAATAAGTATCTCATTAGGGTACCAACTTGTTTTTGCACTTTGCAGTTATTTTTACATTTAATATTGTCTATACAAGTATGTACCCTGTTTATGTAACTTGTCAAAGCTTAGAGAATGCTAACACAGAATGCTTAGGCAGGTAGCTTACCTTATGTTACACTATCATTTTTTATTTAATATTGCCTGTATAAGCACTGCATATACTATTTAATAGACAATTTGTCTAATATAATAGACAAAGCACCTACAGATTATCAAAGTTAAGGAACACTTCAATTTAAATATTGTTCTCTCCTTGATTTCAGACAGTAGAGACATAAATTTGGCCAAGTTAGTCCTGCTACCATTTTGCTGAATGGAGAGTTGTTATATGGAGAAATAAAAATTAATTGTTTAATTAAAGTTTCATGTGTTTTTGTTTTCTTCTTTTAAGATAAAGATAATGAAACTTTACCGTTACCGGGGTCCAAAAACCATGACATATACCGAACTGTGGGAAAACTGCTACACCTCTAGTACTTACAGATCGCTGCTGCTTTTCTATACATAGACGGGGACATGACACAAAACTGCGCTTAAGGATACAAATACAAATGAACCACGTAAGGATTTGCTTTATTTAGCTACGTGGCTGGTTTAGCGGAGTTACGCAGACACGCACAGCACACATGGGCGTCCTCATCGCTGCCGTCCAAGCAGTCATCATCCCCGTCACATTTCCATGATGCCTGAATGCAGCGGTGGTTGCGGCACTGGAACTCGCCACTGCCGCAGCGCTCCGGCTCCCCCGTCACACCTTTGGGAGAGATCCACACCCATGGACATTAACGCAGAGCCCCACGTTTCCCACGATGCCCAGGGAGTAAAAGGAAACACTGTTTCACGATGGATGACTCCATGGAGAGAGGCTTACTTGAACAGGTGAAGTTGTTCTTCGTCAGATGCTGGTTGTCGGCACACGCACAGACGCGCCCCCCTGGAATAGGTAGACACAGGGTGCTGCAGCCCCCGTAGTTTATCCGACACTCACTGTCGGCCCCTGTGGGATGCAAAGAAGCGAACCTTTCAACTTGACCAGGAATGCCTCACTGGCCCTGGAAGGAGGTTCCCCAAGCGGTGAGAATAACCAATCAAACGTTCAGCCTTCAAGCAAGAATAAAAGCATTTATTTAAGTGACATCTTTATCTAAAACCAATTTCCTGTCCTGTATAAGACTGCGAGGAATTGTATCACAGATTCTAGCATTCACTTTTGAATTATGGGGCATATTTTTGAGGGTGGATTTGACATTTTCCTCCCTGGATTAATAATTTGTCTTACTGTCAGAGCTAAACACAAACACAGCAATGACAAAGTGATTCCTTCTTCCCTCATGGGGCAGCTGCCAGTTGTTGAGTATGGAGAAGATTGTGTAGTTGAAGATTCTGTAAGTATGCAGTGCCTGAACCAATAAGATAAAGACCTTGATTTAGTAAGAGCCAATGTGTCATACACACAAAGAGGCGCAATCAATCTCTTTTGTGGCATGAAATTTGGGGCTATTGCTAACTGCACTTTCACGACAAGCCAAGAGTTTAGTAAAAGTCCAAGATGGCTTTTCTGCTCATAATTTACTTCGAACCTGATGTGCTGAAGTGGGACACTACAAGTGTATATGTTATGTCCACATTTTGCTGAAAAACTGCAATTACCTTTTAAGTAATAGTTTGAAAACATTCCCCGATGTTAATTTCATCCTTTACATAAGCAGAATATTTTCTTATTTACATGATTTCCTTTACTGCGGATCATCTGACTGATGGAGGTGTCTGTCTCTGTATAAGTCTGATGCAGACCATGGACGGCACAGAAATGCAGAAGTAGGAAGAATCATCCCTGTACTACAGTGTTCAACTTCTGCAAGTGGAATCAGCGGCTGCCCATCGCTGGACAAAAATAACACCAGAAGTGATGCGCGAGTGCTGTTTCTTCGACTCCTGCAGGCATGCAGCGCAGAGGAGCTGCGGGATGCAGGCTAATGATGCGTAAAGTCGCCGGCTCCGCCGTCGCGGCTCCCCATGTCCCGCTGGGTGAGGAGGCCCCACCGCTGGGCTCTGATAGGTGCTTTTGCGCCTCAGTGACTGTAATCACCCCCAGCGGCCCCTCCCCTCCCCTCACCGCATTCTTGCTCTAGACATCAAGGGAGTCAGGAAGGATAAACACATCCTCATAGCCGCTTATGAGATTACAGACAACGGCCTTCATTTCCTGCTGTTGCCCCACCTGCAAGGTCACGACCCCAGGCGCCTGACTCCATGTTTCCACGTTTAAACAGGAATTGCTCCGTAACGATAAATCAATCATGCCGATAAATGCACTATAACATAGTATAATTACACCACCCTGCATTATTAAACATATATACACAAAATACTAATCACGGGCCACATTCTACATGTGAGATCATCTTGCATGTTCATATAAATGTGTGTCACCCATTAAGAGCATGGCACGTTTAAAGCTTTTTAATATCAGTGATTGTGATCACCATCTCATATTTTTGACTATTTATAAATCAACAAAGCCCTTTAATTATCCCTGAGTGGAAATCACTCTGTGCTGGGATTACTGGAGTAATTCAGGTTTTCAAATTTATTCAAAAGCACTGATAATTAAGTGTGATGGCTCAGATTTCATTTAATAAATATACTTCTAATGCAGATGCCCAACAAACTATGCCTGCCCATCAACCCCTGGCCTTGTGCATGGAGTGTAATTACATGTTTAAATGAATTAATTTACAATAAAATTCCCTGTTGATTCATTGACTTATTCATAATAAAAGATAAGGTTTAAATATGAGGAATTTTTATGTATAAGCATTTTCCTTTTAAATTCAAGACATTCCTAGACATAACATTTTTTCCTAGTGTTTATTTTCTCCTGGAAATGTGCATCATTTCAAAGCTTTACATCTCCTTGGGTTTTACACTGACAGATGTCAAGTGAAATAATCTGCTCACAGTCTGAACGGATAAGGTTAAAATTTGCATTTGGCACCTCGGTTGTGGGAAACACACTGTGGACCTGTAAGAAGTGCTAATTAAAGTTCAAAGCAGCGGTTACCAGCACATGCGGCTCTTTCATAACTCAGATACCGGTTAGCATTTGGATTGAAAGAGAAAAGCTAAACAGGAAGGTAACGGCCAGGCCCCGCCCATGTTCCTGCGGTCAAAAGTCAGATTTGCGCAGCACACGGCGGCCATTCACCTTGCTGACTCTGAGCGTCGTAAACCCGGAGTGCGAACAGGGGGGGCCTCTCACTCCTCAGGAGTGTGATGTTCCCCGATGAAAGATCCAGCCGGAAAATGGAGCCGTTCATGTAATCGGTCCAGAAGACTTGTGTCCGGTAATGGGAAATCCCAAATGGGTGCTTTAATTCTTTTCCACTGTACACAACCTGAACAGGAAATATATTCAGCTAAAGACATAAAACAACTGCAGTTCTAAACAGTGACTATTACATATATCAATCATGCCGATTGTGTGTGTGTGTGTGTGAGTGTCTGTGTATGTTGGGGGGTGTTACGTATATATTATGTTTGTCACACGGTTTTGATGCCGTCCTCCCGAGACATCATTTGCAGCTGATGTTGTCTAACACTCTGGTGCTCATTTCACTGCCTTCCGATTCTCATCACGACACGACACCAAAACAGCCCTCGGCACTCACCTTCCGACCTGTCCCGTTGAGAAACATCCTCTCGATGTGGTCGAAGTAGGCATCGCACCAGTACATGGTGCCGGTTCCGTGGTCCAGGGAGAGGCCGTTGGGCCACAGCATGTTGGACGCGACAAAGACCTGCCGGGACGACCCATCCATCCAGGCCCGCTCGATCCTGCCGATGCTGTCATTCACCTCATCCTCCTCCCAGTCTGTCCAGTACATCCAGCTAGATAGATAGATAGACAGAGAGATAGACAGACAGACAGACATTATTAATCCCGAAGAAATCGCAGGTGTACATGGCACAATACACAGACATTTAGAAAATAAACACATTTACAAACACATTCAGAAAGTAAGCAGAAATAAACTGTAGCAATAAAGTATAAATGACAATGAACAGTGACAATGCAAAGAATCTTCTAGACCAGAAATGCAGGCAGAAAACACTAACTGGGAACTGCAGGGGGCACCATTAAAGCCAGACGGTCCATGAACCCCCCAGGGGGCCCAAACCTACAGAACACAGTGCTTCCTGGCACAGGTGTGCAATAACATGACAAGACCACAGGATACTGTTTTGATTTGAGTCACAACCTTGGCCCTTGGATGGCTAAGTCTCCGTTTTTTTTTGTTTTCCCACTCGCCTCATCAAGGAGTGAAGCCCCGCGACAGGTTCCGACCATGAAATCGAAGATGACGGGACAAATCAAGCACTCTCCTGCTCATGGAGTCTCACTGACCCCATGAATAATGCAAAGCACAGGGGACCCTACTCACTGGGAGCACCTTCTGCTAAAGGCAGCCCGGCTTCTGAGCTCAACAGACAGGATCAAAGTGGTACGTTATAAGTGTTAATCCGGACGAGACAGGAAGTGACATGCAGAGAGGAACAGATGGAGAAAGAAACAAACAAATGGAGAAACAAAGAAAGTTTGAAAAACACCACAATAATACAGCCTGGGAATCGCATCAACTTAATATCAACAGGCACTACATTGCGATGACAAGCTAAAGGGCTCATTTTCCATCTGAACCATTTGCTGCAGAAAAGCACGAAGAACCTAAATATGGGCTACCCTCCGATTTCTCGTCTGCAAAGATCAAATTAAACTCCAGCATGTCAGTAAACCCCACTAGCATGCCGCTGCGTGATCGCATGTATCTCTTCATGGCAGAAATGTAAAACAAAATGCAGCTATTTTCAAGCTCCATAAATTCCCGATAAGCAAGCCTCCGAGGAGTGGAGGACTCGCAGTGAGGTGGGTGTTTTAATACACTGATATGATGCACGTACAGCGTGATGTGGAATAACAAGTGAGCTTTAACACATGTGCCTTTTAATCAAGTCACACTGGACTTAAATTAAAATAAAAGGTCTGAATATAAACAAGTTTATGCATGCAAACAGAACTAACATGACAGACTATTTACAATTATCATTATTTATTTCCTTTTGCGGTCCTTCATTTGCTGCATTGTTCTCCGGAGTACATTTTAATCATTACTTAAAGGAAATACATTATGCAAAAGAACTATGATTAATAATAGCTGGTTTGAGAATTGGACTATTGTATCTTTGGCATGAAACAGGTAGTGGCTGGAACAATAGTTATTCCTCTGAATATTTTTGTGAGTTTATTTGACTCATTCTCCCATCACGCTGTTAATCTCAGCTTCTCTCTTTCCTGTCGTAAATGGCACGGCAGCAGTAACGTGGCACTAGTAAATCTCAGAGCTGTCTTCTCAGGAAAAATACTCCAACACAAAAAGCGCTTATTAGCATACAACATACTAGATACTAGCATACCACATACTAGCATACTATTACATACTGAATGCATTATTACATGAAATAAGAACGACACAAACACATTAATGAAGCAATATAAACCAAACACCCTGTTGCATAAACAACAGCCAAGCTATTTAAATGAGGTATTTATTTTAGAAGAATGACTGTGTGACATTTACTGTCTGCCCATATTACTTTCTATAGCGATCATTAGAACTAGAAGCTTCATGATCAGATTGCTTTTTTTTAAGGTAACTTCTTCTTCAACTTTGGAGCCAAAACGACAATGATAGGGAAAAAAAAAACGAAAGGGAATTACACCGTTCCTGCCGGACGGCGTTCCCATGCACTCGTGCGTCGCTTCCCGTTAAGGTGATAATGAGATTGGGCTGGAGCCACGGAGGCCACCTCGACAGCAGCAAAGCCAATCGCTCGCAGCCCCTAACTCGGGAAGGCCGAGGAACGGGAACCGGACTTCTGCGTGTGCATGAGGCACAGGGTGTTTTACACTGTAAGCAAGGGGAAACCAGGCAGGAAATCAATGTACTGTAAAAACAGTCTTGGTCGAAATCCTTTTCATTAATCATGTCTGTGACATGCTGCTGTACTCTTTTTGTTTGTCAATGGATGATTACTTGTGTTCTGCAGCTGCAGTAAACTAACATCCAATATATCTGCAAAAATATGCCAAAACACACTCTATTCCAGCACACACACTGTATTTCCATTTTGAGCTATAACCAAACAAATAATATGCACTTACATTTTTAAGAAAATATTTTACAAGTTCTCTTTCTTTAAGTATATATTTATATTATCCTAATCCTTTTAAATAGGATATACCCATCCATCTTAAAAATGACTTATATCCACTGAGGGTAATAGAAGGGCCTGGAGGCAATCTGAGGCAGCTCAGGGAGAAAGGCAGGGGACACCCTGGACGGGATGCCAGTCCATCACAGGGCACAGGGCACAGAACACCCAGGATGGGATGCCAGTCCATCATAGGGTACAGGACACCCTGGACGGGATGCCAGTCCATCACAGGGCACAGGACACCCTGGACGGGATACCAGTCCATCACAGAGCACAGGACACCCAGGATGGGATGCCAGTCAATTGGAAGGAATAGACACACAGCCATTTTAGAAACGCTTAACTGCCAGTCCTTGTAGTCACCCAGAATACCCAGAGGAAACCCAGAGGGAAGAACATGCAAACTCACACACAGAGCAGGGGATGGGGTTCGAACCTGTAATCCTGGAGGTATAAGGCAACAGTGCTGAGTCACTGTGCTACGGTTCCTCAGGATACCATGTACTGAACTGCCAGCTCTGCCTTTGTGGAGCTTTTCCAGTGAGCACTTGGGTAATGGTGACCTTCAGTGAAGCCCCTTATTTCACTGCTTGTAAGCTATTGTGTGCCTCCATTTGCTGCTCTTCATTACCATATGCTCACTCAATAGATTTCCCAGCTTGCTATTTTTCTGGCTTTTACAGTTAGTACAAAAGATTATTTTATTGAGCAAAACAAAGAAAGTCTGCCTCAAAATTAGAACACAAGTCCAATGTTGTTTTCTCCCTCATGTTTAAAGTTCTGTCCTCAAGGGATTTTAAGAAACGATGTTCGTGTTTCATGTCATTTAAAGTGGTCAGATCATGGTATGTGACACAGAGACCCAGACGTACACACCATATATAAGATTTATATGGTGGGCTTGCAAAAGTCTGAGAGTAACTGAAGCAGATTATGAGAGACTAATAAAATGTGCTTTCAAAAGCCACCAGTGAGAACTATGACATGTATCTCCAGATGTTCGCTGCACTTTCATCTGAGAAAATGCATGTGTGTGGATTACTGTACACGCATGGATCCAGCGTTTTGGTGCAAGCTTTGGTTACTGTTATTCATCCTTGGGTGAAATACACCATATCTAAAAGGTTTCAGGCAAAACTTAGGCCTCTGTGATAGAAGAACTTTACAGTGAATGCAAATAAATCAAATTTAGATAAACATTGCATAAAAGTAACCATTCCATCCACCGATCCATTATTATGACTGCTTACGCTTAAGATGAAGTACAGGAGCAGAAGCTCAGTGTAGACCCACAGCAAACACGCACACACACATACGCACAAGGAGGGACACAGACACACATGAAGGATACAGCATACAAAGCTTCAGCATATGAAAGAATATGTACATCGGCTTACCTAAGGACAGCCTCCAACTACCACATGCACACATACACACTGAACATACATCTATCATGAGTATGTGTACACTGTCACCCTCACCAACACATTCACTGCTTTACAGTGGTACTCAAGGCCAATAAAACTCAGGGAACACTGGGGACATGACATACTGTATCAGATCCTTGGTGTAAGTATTGACTGGAAGGCTGTTGACGCTGGTCCTGCGTGGGACTTTCAAGGTAGTCCTTAAAAGTTCCAAACAACACTGATAAACACAGGATAAATGCAGCTCCAGTTCTCCAGCGTAGACAACAAGTTTGGGAGTCATATCCACACCATTTAAATGCATTTTTATCTGCCTTGGTAATGCAACTGTTATATACATCTCAGTTAATAAGCAGATGCTTTAATCCAAAGCAACACACAACTGAGAGAGTAGGATCAGTCAGTCCCTGGAGAAATTGGTGGTTAAGGGTCTCGCTCAGGGGCCCAACGGTGACATCACTCTGCCAACCCTGGGAGTTGAACCAGCGACCTTCTGATCACAGACACAGGGAGCCCTAACAAACTGCCAGACCGCACTACCATGACTTCAAAGTAGGAGGGAAATTCTGTTTTCTTATAATATATCTGTAAAAATACTACAAAGGAGGTATCGCACTGGTAAGCCTAATTCGGGAAACAGACACGGATGACACCGGTAAGCAGGGGGAGTCAGATTGGCTACCAGGGTCCAGTAAATAATTAAACAACAAGTAAAATAAATACATGATAGGCTCACCCGTTGAGGGGGTCCACCACAATGGCTCGGGGATGGGACATATCTCCTGACAGAAGGGTTTTCCTGGTCTCAGAGGCATTATCCAGTCTGGCAACGCAGATAGTTTTTCTATATCCGTCATTTGTCCAGTATAAGTTGTTTGCTGTCCAATCCACAGAGATCCCTTCGACGTTATCCAGGTCTATGGAGCAGGAATGAATAACATTCAGAACGTTGCTGTTATCCTCCCTGAGACACAAGCTCTGCAGGATTATCTGTTAATGTCTCTCCCTTCCCCTGTTTCTTATACTTTAGGGCTGAAGGCTTTTTTTTCTGTAGGAAATTCATCATTTGTATGGATGAAAAACAAAGAACATGTAAATGCAGCGGCACACAAATGTGTTTGGGCAGCAGAGGTTGACCCATTTGAGGAAATTCACTTCACCTGACAAGATAAAGTGGTCTGATTCACAAGCATCCCAAAGCCGGTAAGAAAAATTGATGAAATACCCACACCTTAAAAAAACAGAGATGTTTAAAGCTACTGTACATTTGATGAGGTTGTCTCTTTCACGCTACCGCAAACATGGCGGGGGATGGGAGCTAAAGTGCATTAAGGGCTGGGCATACAGCTCACCGTCTTTGAGGATGGTCTCCCGCCCAGTCCCATCGATTTTCTGTCGGCCGATTAAAAAGCTAGTTGTGTCAGCGAAATAAATGTAGCTCGTCTCGGCGTGGAAGTCCAGGGCCCTGGGGCTGACAAGGTCCTCGATGGGCACCATGTGCTCGTCGCCGGACTCACTGGCACGGACGTCCAGGCCGCGTACGATTCCCGGTCGGCCTTTCCCGTAGAACAGAAACAGCTCGTTCTTGGGTCCTGTGGCAGTGAGATCAGGCATGGTAAACAAACCACCGGCGACTAATCTTCCTCGCCCTGTATACTGTCAGCACCTAATTAATCGACGTAATTAGCCCCTTTTTTCCAGCAATGAAATTTAAACCCTTTGGAAATCAAAATGTATCTAAGGCGAGCGGACTAAGCTAATTGCATTACCTCAATTAAAACAAGAATTAGTTCCGCTGATTAGGTCTTATCAAATCAATCACGCCTTTGTTCGAAACAAGCCTCCCTTGGGGTGGGGGGGGAGGGGGTGTTGTAGCCTGCACAAAATGGGCATTTATTATGCTGCGGACATTTAATTTTACAATTCATTAGGAACTGGCGGAGATGTTGTTTGTATTGACTGGAACATTGATTGCTGTGGATGGTAATGGCCTCTCGATGCATCCCCAGAGAGAAAGAGAGAGAGAGAGAGACAGAGAGAGAGAGAGAGAAAGAGAAAAAGAAAGGGAGGGTCGTTTGAGTTCTGGCTCAGGAAAAGATGCTCTTAGAGAGAGTCCAAGAGAGAGCCTCACCCCAGAGGCAGTTTGTGGTCCCAGATGCAATTTCTGGCCAACAGCTTACAACACTGCAGTTTCTACTACAGCTATGCAGTTCTAGATGTTGAGTCACATTATTTGAGAGTTTTTTTTTTTTTAGAACAGTAGAAAATGTTCTAGAAGGTTGGTATACTTATATGACTGGCTCTCCTTCAGCCTGGCCAAACTAGCCTGTAATTCCAACCCTGTTAGTAATGTGACCCCTGTCACATACTGACATCTGCATCATCTTTATTGATGAAATGAACTGAGTCCGCAGATCAAAACTATACCAAGACGTTAATGAATTATGTCTGTTGTAGGTCAATAAGATGAAATTCTGAGATGACATTATGTCAGAATGAGATCTTTACCCCCGCAACAGAAGGACAAGCCAGCCTGTATCTCTGTGAGTCATTTAATATTCCTGCTTGTCAATGAATCATCCCTGTTTCAGTTTTAGTGTATTACATTTCCAGACTCGGATGCAGGGGGCTAATATTTATCAGAATCGCCATGACAGCTTGTTCTGAAGATATTCTGCTATCGTGTTTCTACACATCAATAGCTAATATTTCCTAGCCTGGGAAGCGAGTATCATGCAGATATGCCCCACCGCCACCGGCGGGATGTTTGCAGCTAGAGCTAGAGGCCACAGCGCTGTAACTCACGGCTGCAGGACGCGCCGTCGCTCGCCAGGACGAAGCCGGCCCGGCACCGGCACGACCGCACTTTGTAGCTGCCGCCAAGCAGGCAGATGTGGCCGCAGCCCCCTGCCCTCCCGTGGGCGTCGGCCTCACAGGCATGGCTCCACACTGCAAAGATGGGGAAATCAGTGCTGGGCCAAAGCCGGTCCATCACGCTTCAGGCTGCTCGCTGGGATAACTTTCAACAACATATACAGAACGCTGAGTAATGTCTGCATTCCAGACATTACTCAGCAAACGCTTTTATCCAAAGTGATGCACAATTAAGAAGGCAGGGCATAAGCAGGGTTAAGCTGCATGATCAGGGGCCCAATGATGAAACCACTCTACTGACCAGGGGATTTGAACCAGCAACCATCTGATCACATGCATACCACCCCACACACCCATTCACCTGACTGCTCCTTCACACCCCCTCCCACTTTACCTGTCGGCTGGGCCAGTTTGTGGTAAACACGTATCCATCTTGAATTCTCCATGCTAGTTAATGTCCTCTTGTCTGACCCGTTAAACCGATTAATCTGGAGGATGTCCACTTTGTCTCCCGCGCTCGGGTCAGAGCTTGTGGCGAACAGATAATCTTCGAAAACCGTTAATCCATGCACGTATGACACCTGAAAGGGAGAGACTTGAAGTGAATGAGCAGACCGGGATGTATTTGCCACATCTCGAGTCAGTCCTGAGTAAGTCCTGAGTAAACTGATTCACAAAATGGGCCTCATTCACATAAGTCTGTGTAGCGAAATGAATGAATGAACTAACTTTCACATAAGACACATACACATATGAGAATGAAACTTGGCATCTGAGCATAGGGTTAGCAGTAGATGTGATTATTCTGCTGAGCACAGGATACGCACCAGCGACCTTCTGACCTCAGACTCAGAGGCCAAACCCACTGTGCTACACAGCGCCCCCAAAGAGTGTATGCAAGACCAAGCAGAAATGTAAAAATCAAAGTGCCCACAAACACAACAAGACGCCATCAGATTCAGTATACATTCCTCAGCTGGCACAGCGCATGAACATTAATTTTTCCTTGAACAAAATTGCATTCCAGAGTGGGGGTCATTCCGGGCTGCATTCATCAATTCCAATTCAAATCAGAAAATGTAACTGGAGTTGGAATTTAAATCTCCCTGAAATTCAAATTTAATTCCAATTCTGCTCCACATAGTTTTTTTTTCCAACCCCAAACCTGTTGCATTCCACTCCGACTTAATCTGCCTTTTATGAATGTGGCGAAGAATGAAGGAGCTGAAATATACACACAATACAGCTAAGGAGAAGCAGAACATAAGCAAAAGGGGACAGACAGGAGTGGGTATCAGCCTCAAAAAGGCCAATATGAGTGGAGTAAGGAATTGTTACGGCTAATGCAGCTAGAGCTCATGCATGTGTCGCAAATATCACAGCGGTGCTAGAAATCCCAGCTAAAAAACAGCATTTTTTGGGTTCTGGGTTCTGCTTCAAATCTGACACAGCTACGTAATAAACGCTCTGGAGGTACGTGGGATTCATCCCTGAGGTCATGTGAACAAATGATGCTGGTGTACATGGGTGTAATGAACAGTGAACTTTTCCGAGCTAAGCCTGGGCGAGCATTAGGCATAATTGCAGAGTGACAATGTATGCATGTGACCAGCTTTCAGGCAGCTCGCAGGACATGTCCCGCAATTATCTGCTCGAAACGTACTGAGACCTCTCTTTCAATAATTTACCAGTAATATAAGAGCAGACAATGAGTGATACACAAAAACAGACAATTACTGTGCTTTATGGATAATTACAGCATAAAATCATACTACTCTCGCTGCTGGGGTCTGAGGACCACTTAAGACGAGGCTGGTCTGTTGGTATATATGTATTGTATTAGTCATATTAATGTGATCTGACAAAGGTTTTCACTGGGGTCACACATTGTTATGTTGGTTTTGGTTCAGGCAAAGGTACCCAGAAGTGGAGTGATATTTTATTTGGCATTTCATGCTCCTTTTCCCTGAACAGCAAATTCACTGAGTAGCCGCTTAAAGTCCTGTGAATATTAATGGCCTGGGTATTTTCTGAAATACTTTTTCTCAAAAGTATTCTTCAGGAACATTATAGTGGTGTCTCAATTAAGTAGTATTAAGATTCAAATGGCATGTTGGATGGGCACACACTCATTGTATATGTGTACGTGTCACACACTCATTGTATATGTGTACGTGTCACACTCATTGTATATGTGTACGTGTCACACACTCATTGTACATGTGTACGTGACACGGAAATACAAAAATAAAAAACTGTTAGACATCAGGTCCACATTACGCTGGGGCACATCGAGCTCCTGTATAATAGATTGATTGACAGACAGGTAGACAGACAGGTAGGTACCTTGCATGCAGTTCAACATACAGATGATAAGGACAGCAATGCCCTCATTGTGTCACACGGCAGGAAGCAGTAGTACATACTCACCGAGCTGCCCCGTATGACGCTCTGCCGGTTCCTGCCATAGTAGTCCACCACTTCGATGTAATCCAGGTAGGCGTCTGCCCAGTACACCAGCTTTTTCACCAGATCTAGGGCCACAGCGCTGGGCAACTCTACTTTGTGCTCCACGATACGGGTCCTGTTGGTGCCGTCCATGTTGCTGCGCTCCACTTTCCCCTGAGAGCCGTAGTCAGTGAAGAAGAGCTTCCTGACAGGTGGACAAGGAAGAAAAAAAGTGCAGATGAGTAGATGTGTCCTACCGTGTGAGTGAAGTACAGTAGTACCTTGGTTCTCGAACTCACTAGAACTCGAATTTCTTGAAAGTCGAACAAACCAGTTTGACCTAGAACTCGATCTGAATAACAGAAGTCGAACCGTGAACTCTGACCTAATATAAATTGTACACACCAGGAAATGAGTCATACTACAATGCAATTCTTACTTGAATGCCTTCTTCACAGACTGGATGATTAATCAAATAAAGCAGCGCAACATTACAGTAACTAACAATAAATAAACCACTAACTTATGTGTACTATTAGAGCATTTATGTTATTTATTTAAACTTTATTTTACCAGGTAAATTAACTAAAAACCAGTTCTCACTGCTTTACGTGATATTCGAGTGAAATAGCAGATTACGCATCTGAACTGGCTGGGATACAAACGTCATGCGTGTAACTAAACTTTTCAGCCAATAAGGGCAATGGTGTGTCGTCACGGAGGCGGTTCCAGTTTGTGAAGCCCGGTTGAAATGTCGCAATGCATCTAACCGTAACCAGCGCTGTAAGCAAGTCGCACCCAATGACCTGACTGGAGAAACAAACTGAAACGCGGACTTAATACAGAGGACTAATGACAACAACCAGAAACAGCTGATCACATGGGGATCCCACACGAGGTTAACGAGGGGGCGTGGCACACGGAAGGAGCGGACGATCTGGGCAGGACAGGGGTAATGTTGGGATAACATTATAGTTTTGGAAGCCATTAAGAAAAAAATGCTCTTCTTCTTTTATCCTGTTCATTTTGTGTTTAAATGCTTAAAAAAACATATTTAGGTGTAATTTTGGTGAACCAATTAATTGGTTTTCCATTATTTCTTATGGGAAAAATTCGATCAGAACTCGAACTTTTTAGGATTCGATTCGGAGTCCGGAACGGATTAAGTTCGAGAACCGAGGTACCACTGTACTTAGTAGTTGAAGTACATGTTGGTCTGAAGTTCAATGACAGGCCCGTTAGAACACTGAGTGACATAATCAATGAATCAATCAATATTCCCCTGATTTTTTTTTTGGAGTGATTTTAAAATACAAATGACCACCACACATTCTAAAGTTTTTAAGACTATTTCTTCGCATGTGTCAGACATGAATAATTAATTGAGTTAATCTATGAAATATGTTGACTTTTTGTGTGTTTGTAAGAAGCATGACTTGTTTAAATGGCTTCCTTCCATTTAGCTTGCACTATATTACAAGGCACGGTCCAGTCCTCTTCATTAGAAGCATCTGTCTGGCAGGAAACATAACATAAATATTTACTGAAATTGACTAAATCAAAGCATACTCTAAATTAAGAGTAATTTCTTGATGGACTTGTTTGTTGGGCGTCTAATATATTCTGTTTAATCAGATGAATGTTTATAGTCGTAAGGAACATCAAAAGGATAGAAATAATCCAACACATTAATATTTACTGTTTCTGAAGAAGTCAAAACAACAATAAGTAAGTTGCTCCTATTTCATATGCAGGTGATCAGAGTGTTGTTTCAGGCACCTGGTATAGAATTCTAATGAAGTAATGGTGTGGAAAAGAGGAAATGATTGTAATCGGTAAACAAATAAGACGTAGAAAATTTTCTGTAATAAACGCACAGAATTAAAATAAAAATAAAATAATTTTCTTGCGTGACACTGGTCATACCAAATTACTTCCCCTGTGACATGCCTGTTTGGCTAATGATGCAATCGTGATGATTTTTTTTTTTACTAATTATCATTAATTATCAATTTTATTTTAATCATTTACATTTAATTTGATAGTACAACCAACATTTTATTACTGGAGAAAAGTTAGCAGTAGGTTCGATTATACGGCATTCACAGATCTTCTCTGTATTTACTCTATTAAATCATTACGAAAACAAGGAAACTCCATATTCACAAATTTGTGTGTGTTGGTGAAATTACATGCACCCTTTGCTTTTTCAATTACTTCATCCAATAAATTGTGAAAATGCATGCTCTTGTAAATTAACACATTCACTTTGGTTTTGACAGTCCGTAACGTTTCAAAATAAAAAACTCAAATGGAAAAAACAAGGAATTTCTTAACAGACGGTTATTACCGAAGACATACAACACTTTGAATCTCCATTCCAATCTGTTATATGCTTACACAAAATCACAAACACATACAGGGCCTGTCAAAACTGTAAATATTAGTTTAAGCTAACATTATTTTTGTATCCATGTGGAATATAGAGCATCCTACATTTCAACTTGTGGTGAAAGAACATGAGTAAACCTACACATGTCCTGTACTTTGGCACTTGTGAAACTCGTAGGTAAATTGTGAAATTAAACTATGAATGGATATTCCTCATATCCATTATTTTCTATGCAGGTGGAACGCAGAGCATCATAATGCTCCAAAGCCGAAGAACCCAGCAAAGACATTTCAGGTTGTGGTCAAAGGGCTTGAGTAAACCTACACACCATCCAACTTTGGCACTTGTGATACCCATAGGAAATTTGTGAAATTATATTCCTCATATCCATTTTTTCTATGGAGATGGAACACAGAGCATCCTAATACTCTAAAGCTAAAGAACCCAGCAACGATATTTCAGCTTGTAGTCTAAGGACATGAGTAAACCTACACATATCATGCACTTTGGCACTTGTATAACCTGTGGATATTTTGTGAAACTAATTTAAATTCTTCATATCCATTATTGTCTCTGTAGTTGAAACACAGATCATCCCAATACTCAAAAGCCAAAGAACCCAGCAGCAATATTGGCACTTGTGAAACCCGTAGGTAAATTTTGGAATGAAATTATATTCCTCATATCCATTTTTCTCAATGCAGGTGGAACGGAGAGCATCCTAATGCCCAAAAGCCAAAGAACCCAGCAACTAAATTTCAGCTTGTGGTCAAAAGGCATGAGTAAGTCTACACATGAGTAAGTCTACACATATCCTGTACTTTGGTACTTGTGAAACCTGTGGGCAATTTGAAATTAACGTATTTGTCTCATATCAATTATTTTCTATCCAGGCAGCATAATGCTCTCAAGACAGATCTTAACAACTCATTTTCAATTTGTGGTCAAGGAACATGACTAGCCCTACACATACACCCTTTGGGACTTGAGAAACCTGTTTGATATTTTCTGAAATTAATTTATATGCCTCATATCCATTATGTTCTATGCAGGTGGAATATAAAGTCATGATGCTCCAAAGCAAAAGAGCCCAGCAACTAAATTCCTACTTGTGGTGCAGGAACATGACTAGACCTACACATAACATGCACTTTAACACTTAACAAACCTGTAGATAATTTGTGAAATTAACTTACATACTTCATATTCATTATCTTCAATGAATGTGGCATAGAAACCATCATAACTACATTTCAACATGAATACTGAACATGAAGCTTTTCATTTTTTTTTCAACAATATGCATCTTTTCAAATGATGCTTTACTGTGCATGAAGCAAAAAATAATGAATATGAGGAATATGAATTAATTTCACGTATTACCTACAGGTTTCAAAAGTACCAAACTGCATGATATGTGTAGGCTTACTCATGCCGTTTGACCACAAGCTGAAATATTATTGTTAGGTTCTTTGGCTTTTGAGCAATAAAGTGCTCTGTGTTCCACCTACATAGAAAATAATAGATACGAGGCACATAAGTTAATTTCACAATCTACCTCCAGGTTTCACAAGTGCCAAAGTACAGGATATGTGAAGGTTTACTCATGTTCTTTGACCACAAGCTGAAATTTAAGATGTCGTATGTTCCATCTGCATACAAAAAAACTGGACATGGTAGCTAATACTATAATTTACAGTTTCAGAAGTGTTAGTGGGCCCTGTATGTGCTTGTGATTTTGTGTATGTAACATATTGGAATGGAGATTCAAAGTGTTGTGTGTCTTCAGTAATAGTCGTATTCTTGTTTATCCATTAGGGATTTTTATTTTGAACCTTTGTGGACTGTCATAAACCAAGCGAATATGTTAATTTACAACAAGAGCTTCATGTTTTTCATTTTCACTATTTATTGGATGAATTATTAGAAAAACCAAGAGGCACATATAATTTCACAAACATACAAATTTGTGAATGTGGAGTTTCCTCGCTTTTGAATTGTTTTAAAAGAGTATATACAGAGATGAATGTGAATGTCCAGTGAATATCGAACCCACTATTAACTTTACTCCGGTCATTTAATTAGATTGTTAATGTATACTTAGCTTGATAGCGATACGTTCACCCTTACCGCTGCAGCAAGATGTCACATCAATAAAAAATGTTTACTAGAGATGCACTCCCAGCAAACATGCCAATTTGGGCCCAGCATGGGCAGGTGTGGGTTTACTGTGGGCCAGTGTGGGCAGGGCAAACCCACACTAATCCCACGTGGGGCCCATGCGGGTTAGCCCACGCTGGGCCCGCAGCAGTTTCGCCCTTTGGGGCCCCTACAGTATGTGGGTTTTCTGTGGGCCAGCCCACAGTGGTCGTAAGTGCACGATGACGTGTATTTAGCAAGATACCGGTGTTCCTGTTGTCGTGCGTGTTTGTCTGTGTCTTATGTGCACCTCGTACGATACTCGCGTGTCCTTAGCTGTGTATAAATCGCCCACCCTGTATGTACTTTGATGTCCAACGTCTAGCCTTCCCTACTCTCCCTGGTTATATTGGGTTTGGTGTTAATTAGGTGCCTGTTACAGTCCTATACAGGACTGTAATAAACAGCGTATTTTGTTCCGGAAAGCAAGTCTCCTTGTTTTTCGCTGCACTCTCGATGTCTCGGTCTACAATATGTCTCACTACAATAATGTCAGATAAGTAAAGATATCGCTAATGAGCTGAATATACATTAATAATCCAATAAGACATGGTGCTTAAACCATAATGAAATGTGTCAGTTACAGTATATTGTCAAGCTTCTTGTAAACGATT